TTGTATTCGGTTTCCATAGTGGTGTGAATTGTGGCGCCTTTGAGAACATGTTGTTTCAGAAAAGACACGACATCACCACGAAAGTTGCGAGGTATCAAGGTTTCCAGGTTTCGAGATAGTTTTGAACTTTCGACTTTTGGAGGTTTCAAACTGTTGGAGCTTTCGAGGTTTGCAGGTCTCATTTTCTTGAAATTTCGAGGTGTCCAAGCTGCAAGTGTTAAAGGCTTGGAGGTTTGCAGGTTTTGAGGCTTCGAGGTTCCGAGGTTTCCAGGTTCAGAGGCTTCGGGCATCCAGTGTCACGCCTGATCACCCATTTTGTTTGCGTGAAGGCTTGTGATCTTCGTCGTTGATGATTTCCGCACGCTCTTGCTGCAGTTGCAATGGACCCTGATGCATTGATCGATCGCAGTGACGATGATCGTAGGGTGTGGCATGTCCTGCCCAAGGAATTCACACTCTGCGTACAACATGCTTCGCCTATGCCTGTTTCACGCACGATGAAATTTATTCTCCGAAATTGATTGAACCTTCGACAGCTCGGTTTCTCCGTTAATTGCCAGTCGCATGTCCTGCGACAGACGATTGGGGCCAAGTTTACTTCAATTGTTTGTCCGACCATTTCCTGAACCGCATCTTGCTGCGAACGTCAACCTTCCAAACATACCGCTGGAACACATGCGGCAGACCAAATTTTGGGCTACGAACGACTTCGAGGAAAGGTACGCGAAACAAAACACGTGCTCAGCATGCTCAGCGAACACCAGACGCTGCGGTCCCATCATGTTTTTGCACTGGTCCTGCGGGGTTTTGGCTTCAAAAAAAAGCAAAGCAGCTAAACCTTCAGGCTACATGAATGTTTCTTGAGTTTTAACTTTGGAGGAGAACATACCAACTACACGCCCGCAGCCCGCAGCCCAAAGATGCTTCTTGGTTTCTCGACGCCTTATTCAACGATGCATATTCCCGATTCCCCTGCTACACCAACGCATGCGCACCACCGAGCACATGGGCAAATATTAAACGTCAACCTGCACACGCTTCAAAGTTCAAAGTCTTAGGGGCTCAGCTTGAAGCGAACTTCCTTTGAAGCCGAAGCGCGGTTCCTATTTGTTTTTTTCTTTGCGCTGTTCGTGCCCCCCCTCGCTTGTGTTTCATCTAATCCCCGTGGCTATCAGATATCAACAGACGACTCCCCCTCGCCGCGTGATTGAAACTGGTGCGCAAGCAGGCCTCAGCAGGCACGGCGATCTGATTATAAGTGCCATATGGAGGGTTCATGTGTACGGGCCGCCGACAATCTAAACATGTTTCGTAAAGACTGGGGATTCCGGCGGGTCTGATGCTGGTTTCTTGGGGTGAAACAACTTGCATATGGCTGGGGTGCGAGGTATCCATTGCAACCAAAGCACCAGGATATGACTGCCGAGCAGATCGAGCAAAATGTGGTCTGTGCTGCACCATTGCTGGATGGGCCAATCCACACGCACCCCATCACAGGAAGCCTCAGCAACTTATCAGGATATCTTTCTCAAGAAGTGGTTGGACAAGCGCATGCTCATCAAATTCTTCAGAACACACAGGAGGAAGGTCTGACACCCTCAGAGATGTGGCAGCGGCAGCAGAAAGCACGTTCGCAGCACACCCCATGTCGATGGTTATTGGAATGTCAGTCCTAGTTTCTTGTGGCTTTTTTCGATTTGATTGGTGCGTTGCCAGTGTGGTCGGTGTCCTCATGAAACCAACGACCAAACTACATTGACATGTCACTCGCGGAAGAGCATGAATGCACAAGATGTATCCGGGGCGAGACGACTCTTGAAACTGGATCTGCCTTTCGTTTAGGCTCCAGGTTTAGGCGGTGGACGATGTCCCGTCCGCCTTGTAGGATGATCCACATTGGTGTTATGTCTATGTTGTCGTTATTCAGTGAGGCGTGCTTGGATCGCAAAGAACTTGTTCTCTAAGTGAGCCTGAAGCCTACTCAATTTTCCAGTGTGCCTGCACCGTGAGACATGGCTGACAGAGTCGCGGGCCCAGGAAGCAGAAACGAGCACATGTTAGATTGCTCGGCTTGCTTCAGCTTTGGACAAGCTCCGCTTGGCCTAGGATATGGCTGTCACCATCGAGGGGTTGCTCGCCAAACTCGTGGCTTGCAGGTTGGACTTCCACCGTCCCTTCCCTCCGAGCCTGCGCCCAAACTCCAGCTTTGTGGTGAACTGCGCCTCGGTGGGACCCTGCATCCGGACAAAGCTTTCGGAAAAGGGACCCTGCACTCCGACGAGTGACGCCGTTTGGTCAAGTTCCGCACAGCGGGTGGCTACCACGTGCTCCGTCCCAGCACGTGCAAGGTTGTGCATCAAGAGTCTCCGTCTTTTGCAGAAAGTTGCACAGCGAAGGCCAACACGACCAAGAAAGTTGGCAGCACTAGTCCAGCTCAGGAAGAAGCCTGTGATGTCAAGGTCATGTGGTCAGACACTGAAATCTACGAATGTCAGCCGAATTGCTCCGGCTTGTGCGTTTGGTCTCGCGCAGAGAGGACCGAAAGAAGCACCGGACTCGCAGCCTTCAGCTCGCCCTCTGTCCACTCCAGTGCACGCTCTGGCTGCGCTTGATGTCTGGCTTGTACCTTGCCATGGCAAGCTTTCTCTGCGCCGCACCTCAATGCACATTCTCAGCTTTACGTCACCAGAGCTCCAGGTCAGTCAGAAGAGCCAGCCGCAGAAGCCTGCAAACTACAGAGGTGATGCAGGCGTCTCTGCCACGGTATCCTGCAGGATGCAGAGCATGCATATAAGTATGCACAGAATGCCTGCGCGACATGCTTCAAGTCGAAGAGGCTTGAAGGGTTTGCTTGTGCTGAGGTCTGTGCTTGGCATCTCGTGGAGGGTAGTGCCTGGTAAGAGGAGGGGAACAACCGCACGTATGGATCGCCGCAAAGCTCCAGGTCTAAGCTGCCAGCCGCCACGTTTTGCCCCGGCTTCCTATCATGCACCCCTTGCTTACTTTGCGGACAATGCTTTCAGGAAGTCACCGCGTGCTCTTCTGCATTGCAGAGCGACGAGGGCACAAGTTCCCTTTGTGCGCCTGCATGCAGCTCGTTCCGTCTCGCCACTTGGCGTTGCTCTCGATCTCGTCCTTACGAGTTTGATACTGCATCTAAGCGTCCCAAACCTCCATCTTGGACAGGTGGGAATTGCAAGAAAAGGTTGCATGCAAATGCGCTCTTTAATCCAGAGTCCGGCAGGGTTCAAAGCCATGGAGAGTCGACGGCTCGGACTCGGCCGTGCCAGACAAGACGGTGCCACAATGCGGTGCTCTCCGCAGTGCCGTGTATCGGTGCTGCAATTGCTTCGGAACGCTATCGTGCCCAGTGTAGGCCTCTCATTAGAGACATGCCGGCGCTCGGCGATCAGGATTATGATGTTGGTGCTGACAGAAGACTTGCTCGATACCTCTCCCCAGAGCCCGGATCGGAGCATGGTGCCCATTACACCTCACCTCGATCCGAAGCGGTTGCGACGTGTCCTGACGACATGCCAGGGCACGTCGTGGGCAGCGCGGAGAGAGAGCCAAGTCCAAGCAGGCACCGCCCTGGTCAGCGTGACACCGACGCACCGGCAAGGCCCAGTCCCTGTCCTACCGTCTTGCACTCGCCTGAGTGTCTTTTCGCTTCTCGTATCTGTCGTGGATTGTGGTCTCACAGCCGGGTCCTGCACGCTCAGCGCGTTCTCACGGCGTGGGACAGTCTGCAATCTGAAGACACTGCAGGCCACTGCTACGCTCCTGTGGCATCCGTCTCATTTCAAGCTTTCGCAGAATCCGCTGAAGCGCGGAGAGGTGCTGCGGACCGTGAAAGCCTGCATAGCTTCAGGGCTCAAGCCGCACAATGGAGGGCAGAAACAACTCTCTTTTTTCATGAGCGCCTTCGCTGAAGTCGACTCCGTGAAACCCTTTCGCAGGGTGACGTCCATCCTGACCTCGTGCCGCTCGTGCTCTGTGTCTTCAAGGCTTCAGGTCAAAGTCAGGGCTGGGAATCACTGCTCAAGCACAACAGTCGGCCAGATTTGCGTCGAAAGCCACAGCTGGAGGTTACCAAGTCTTGCGCGCTTGCCGGCGCTTGTGTTTCACAGCATGCAAGCCTGCCCGGGGGTTTGTTCGGGTCTCGATGGCAGTTGTGTACATCCACTTGTGCCTTCAAATCTTGGAGGCTTCCTCGTGCATGTGGGTTTCGTGTGCAAGGGGCATAGCATACTTCCTTCCGGTCTTTGCCTGCTTCGGGAGTGTAGTTCTTCGAAGCCGGGAGGGCAGGAAGGTCTCAAGGCCCCCACTCTGCAGCAAATATCTGCGCCTCAAAAGGCTCTGCGTTGCGGTTCGGACCCGGGCTTTGAAGCTTCTTGCCTGAGTCCCTTGAGCTTCATTCTTCGTCGGGAAGTTGGTTGCATGCTCGCTGCGTTGTGTTCGCTCCCCTCGGGCTGTCGGCTGTGGTTTGTTCCTCACGTCCTTCTTGGGCTTCCTGAGTCGCTCGTGAACATGCGCTGCATTGATGGGGTTGGTTCGGCGTCTAGGACTAGAATCCGTAAGCTTCAGGGGCTGCTTGTGGCAGCGCAGTCTTCAAGCTGCCATCCTCTCGAACTTGCTCGCGAGCAAGTTCGCGCCGCTGGTGCCGCCGGTGCCGTGGGAGCTGCAGGGTCAAGCAGACCCATCGCTTCCAGAAGCAGCAAGGTCCAGGCCAAAGCCTTGATTCGCTCCCTCCAGGCGGTTCTGAAGCTTCTGAGGTCATGGAGTTCCCGCAGAGGTCTCAGGTTTGCCCGCAAGGTCTGCCCCTCTTGGTTTCAGCATGCCGCCCTGGGCCGATGCAACGCCCAGGTTCATGTGAAGTGCGTCGCAAAGTTCGAAGCACATCCGGTTTGCCTGGAAAGGTTCCAGGCCCCCCGGTGTTACCCTTGTTTGCTGACGTCCGAGCGGGCCAGCCCCCAGCCGCAACCTGGTTGTTACCCGTGTTTACTGACACGCGAGCGCGAGCAGGCAGAGTCTTGCGATGTGCTCGACAAGCATAAGCATGTGGCTCCCTTGCCGGCAACATTGGTTTCAGACTCGCTCGAGCAACCCGGGCTTGCGCCGCCGCTCGAACAGGAGGCTTTGTCAGTGCCCAAACTCGAGCGGCTTTCGCCTGCACGAGGCCCTGGGGGGGCCTTTGTCTTCCTTGGGCTTCAGGACATGCTTGCTGCGTCCGCTGCGTTGTGCCGACCCTGGCTCCCTCTGCGCGGTCCGCTCGCCCACAGACCACCCAGGTATGGCAAAACGCCAGGTGAGCTCGAGCACCGAATGCTGCCGAAAGAGTTCATAAGGCCCCCAAGCCTCGAAGTGGCGGAGATGCCGCGTTGCTTGCAGGTGACCAGACCGTTTTGGCTTCCTTTGGCTTGGCATAGTGACTCCTTGCAAGCCCCGTTTGGTCCGGGCTTGGCCTGGACTTTGAAAGAGTCCTGTCTCCAGTCGCTCAACATGGGCGTGTGCTCCAAATGCCATACTTCAATTCCTGACTTTACCATGGCCCTACATTTTGTCCTTGTGCATGCGCTTTCCTACAACAAAGCCTTTGAGGATCCTCCAACACGGTTTCTTCTCAATCACCGTAAGGAGCACAAAGCCTTCCCAAAGCCAGCCTTCCCAATGCCAGAGAAGGCGCCGGCCAAGAACGCATGTCGGATTTGGAGCGAGCGTGCTTCGGCGGGGCAGGTTAACATCCTTCCACCTTTGCTTGCAGCTGTGGACTCCGCTCTGTCTGATAACTCTGGAGGCTTTGGGAAGCTGCAACCTCCGAGGTCAGCCTGCAGAGTTTGCTCTGCCGTTTTCTGGGAGCGGGAACGATTCAATGTCCTGGCAAGGGTGATGCCGGTGGCCACGGTGCCAGGGCCAAGGGTTCCGCAGCTCCCAGAGCTAGCCGTTCTGGCCCCTGTTTCAGCACTCCACATCAGGTCGAAGGCCAAGGCATCAGCAGGCCCTGTCCCGATTTGCCGTGGAGTTCTGCAGGACTCTTGCAGCATCCAGCGACTGAGACCGTTTCAGCTGTGGAAAGCAATCTGGTGTTCGCTTCGCAAGCGTCGTCGCTGATTGGCTTTGGATTTTGGACTCTAAGTGTGCAGGCACTGCCGTAATTAATCATCATCGTTTGTCTAGTGGCCAGCTGGTCTTCGGGCCGCCAGAGTAGCTCTATCCAGATTTTTGGGGCAGCCGTTGCCCCTCTGGTTGCTGGAAGATCGGACTTGGCTTTGCATGAGCTTCCTGATTTCGGAATCAATTTTGTCACTTGTCGATGACGGTACAAAGTACGGTCAACTTTGTACAGTTCCATCAAAGCACGTTCCAGTTTCATATCAATGTGTCGTTGCTGATGGTCAAAAGCAGGCGCGCTCGCAGTTTCAAGGGCTCTGCGAGGTGTCAGGAGTTCTGCGCTGAACATACGGCAAATGGTCGCCGTCTGCTTTTGGCTCCAGCCTCGAATTGTCGGAGCCCATATGGGCGGCTGAAGGCATCGTGCTGCGATGCGATCGGGTCATGGACGTTTCCTCCGCTACGCCTTGGCCCGTCGTCAGCACTTCATGCTTCCAGCTTCTTCACTGAATCTCAGGCTTCTTGCTTCCCTTCATGTTGAGGTGGCTTGTGTGGTGGTGATCATCCTCGGTGCCGGCATGTGTGACTTGCCACGACCGGCGTCTGACACTTGACACGTGCGTGTTTTTTGAGGTGCGCAGCGTTCTCGGCTGCAGAGCTCTGCGGAAAATCCTCTGCACGTGATGTTCCAGCATTTGCCTTGCAAGGTGCATCGCTGCCCTCGGACAGCGACTTTGACTTGCTCCTCGCAAAAGATATCAAACCCCACTTGGGAGCGTGAAAGCATTTGGTTGTCCACTGTTGCAAACGTCGTCAGGCCTTTTGTTGCTCCAAGTCACTAGGATGTGGACGGATTGAACTTCAAGCCAAGGCAAGTGATCGGAGGATGGACTGTTCCGATGCAGCGAAATTATGTGGTCCGGGACCTACCTAAGGACGATTGCATAGTTGCCGCACATCCGCCGCAGGCAAACCGCATGTCTTCGGAAGCCCAGCAAAGCCGCGGCCACCCGTAGATTGCGTGCTTAGGTGCTGATCTTAGCCAACTCCACCTGCCGCTAAGCTCTCAAAAAGGAAGCCTTCAGGAAGTGGTTCAAGACACCCAAGAGCCCAAGAGCAACACCAGATGTGTAGCATCTGTATGCACGTATCTGTATGCACGTATCTGTATGCACCTATCTGTATATACGTATCTGTATGTGTATCTGTTCGTGGGTGCGGCTGTGCGTGTCTCTTGCCTCTGTGCGCGCGCGTGTGTGCATGTGTGTGTGTGTGTCTGTCTGTGAGAGCCCTATCAACTGTCGGGAGTACGAGTTGCACCAAGCCGGGGAGAGCGGGGAATACTTCAGTTCTGCTGGGAACGCTGAACTATCCTTTGACATTGTCGGAAGGGACACCTTCCGCATGTGCATGAACGAGGAAGCCGTGTGCAGCTTTTTCGGCTTTTGCGGCTCCGGTGTTTGGGGGGGGGCGCCTTTCGGGAATGCTTTTCAGATCCTCCAGGAATCGAGTTCGGATTCGATTGTTTTTGTGCCTCCCGAAGCCAACTCGACTGTTCCCTTGCATGGCCTTCTTGATCTCGATAGTAGCTCCTCGGTGAGCAATCCCGTGGGCACTCGCACCGGTTGCTGCAGTACCTCTCTACCTGAAAGAGACGGCGTGCCGGCTGTTGGCCTTACTACTGGTAGCAGCTAGTGTACGGGGTACAGCTAGAGGTCCCAGACCCGGCGGATTGATCGGAACGGCCAAGGGCTGCACGACTCCTTCTCACGAGTGAAAGCAAAACAGCATTTCGCAAATCGAAACCCCTGAGTAGATTCGCTCGAAACGACTTGAACATCGGAATTCCCGACGTGCTTGACGCAGAATTATCCTTGCAAGTTGTAATTCCCAACAGCGTGAGACCCCACAAATGGGACTTCCCCCGAGAGCTTGCTGCAACAGAAGACCCTACAAATGCGATTTCTCCAGTAGCTTGCTCCAGAAGACCACCCTACAAATGGAACTGCCCTAAGAATATGAATTATCTTGCTACAAATCAAACTCAACGAATCCCTCGGCCAAACCTTTCAAAGAAAGCATCTTCGGTCAAACCGATTCGTCTTCAAAGAAGCACTCGGCCCTTTCAGTTTCCGTTGCGCTGTTTGGACTGGCGGGCACGCCTGGTTGGGACGGACAGTTGCGTGGGATGCTGACTATAAGTAAAGATGCAAACAACTTGAGAGTGCGGAGTCGACAAAGTAGGAAGACGAAGTCGTAGCGCCGCAAATGACGACGGCTTTATGGCATACGATTTTTAGGTTGGAGCAAGCAGCGGATATGTACGTGCCAGTATTTTGGCGAGATTCCGTATTGAAATGATGAAGCCGAGGCCGCGAGATTGTAAGAGCTCACCCGTCTGTGGATTGCAATGTCGTTGTTGTGGGCGGATGTAGGCGGGCACTTGATTAGGGTGCGTGATGGTGTGTGGGGGCGAAGCCCATGTGTGGTGCAACATCGTTGCTTAAAACTGTTTGTGCTTCCCTCCAGCTAAGGGGTATTGGTGGCCTTGCATTATTTTTCATCTATGCGTCAACCAGCCGCATCGCCACGCGCCTCGGCGACGAAAAGCCACTTCCTGCACAGTGGGCACGTGTTGGTTCACTCATCCAGGGACCTGCGATGCATTGCGGTCGAGATTTCAACTAAGCAGCAGGTGCAAGCAGACCCAGCCAGCTTGAAGGGTTTCGGTCGTGATGGGATGTGAAAGCCATTGACCTGTTCTTGTCCGTTTCCATGCTCTCAGGCCAAAAGAAGGCCGATTGCAAAGCTGCACGGAGCCACGGGAAAGATGACGAGACTTGACTGCGTCCTGACGATCTGTTGCTGCTAAAGCCGCTCCGTGTTCGAGGCTGAACGAACAGCTGCATACCGAAAGCCCCTCGACCCACTGAGGATTTGCGCGAAGAGGCAGCATGCAGGGCTTTTGGACCGTTTGTTTCGATTGCCACACCTGCTTGCAAGACTCGACTACAAATCTAAACCAGTAGCCCCAAGCCCAGATCCTCGGAATTGGAATCCTCAACACCTACACAGCCATGCGAGAGGCGACAATAACAGAAAAGACCTGGAAAACTCTAGTGCGTGGTTATATTAAATTACTTCAGCAGCAACAGACCCCAACAGCGTGGGGAGTCATCGTGTGCAACCTGGGAATGCGGACTCGTCACATGTCCATCCGACAAACTTGTTGAACGAGCGCTCCTTCACAGTCACCTGGCCCGGACGCTCCGGACCCACCGGCAAGCCCTTAGCCAGTTCCTAGACTCCTAGACAATCTTTACAGGACTTCCTCTCCATGGGCATGCCGGCAGAGCCGCACTGTGAGGCCGGCTTCCAGCCGGCGACGCAGCTGAAACTCAGCCAAAAGAGTTCGGTTTGCTACTTGTATTTTTTTTGAAACGAACTTGCGCTGGCTCCACGATGCTCCACATAAGACAGACCTCGCTTGCAAGAAGCAGGGGCAATTTCTGATCAGCACCAAGCTGTCCATGTAATTTGTTCATATTTCTTCCATGCAAATCTATCCCATAACTGCTCCTTCATCATGATACGTTCACGCGCAGTCGCCCGGAGGCAGAAGCAAATTTCGAAGCCCCAAGCTTTCTGAAACTTGTCCGCAGGATGCACAGCAACAGCGCCGAAGCCTATGATTTTGCTGCCAGGCTATAGAAGTGACAAGACTTTCCGTTTCGTCGGGCTGTGCTGAGCTTTTGTTGAATGCTGGGTTCAGCATGATTCAGCGATAACTGTCACAACAGTACCTGTCCTCCCAAGACTGCTGGAAACTCAAGGACAATGAATTATGCAAAGGGCAATTCTTGGCGCTCCACCGCCCGACGCATGATCGCCGGCTTGACCAGTTTGGCAAATATCGCAACCCGGACTCGAAGTCTGCACACCTGCTAGATTCCCTGTAGAGCTGACCGACAGAAGAGGCAGTTTGGCACATTTGGGCTATAGTATATAGTTGCCAGATTTTTGAGGCAGACTACAGTCATTGTTTGGGGAACTTCTGTTTTGTTGCAGGAGATGCTATTTCGGGTGTTCAGGTGGCGGAAGGGGTCGGGTTTGCTTTGATGGCACTAGGACCCCGTGCCGCTGCAGCGACACGAAAGGATTGCTCGATAAGCGGTAGGAGAGCCCGTATGAGTGTCTGTGCGGCTCACCACATGCATCAAAAGCTCGTTTGGAGATTTCGGACACTATTCATGGTGTTGCGGTCGTGACGTCGTCCAATGTATATGTGAGCTATTCCACACTCGCCACATGCATCAAAAGCTCGTTTGGAATGTACATGTGACCTATTCCACACTCACCACATGCATCAAAAGCTCGCCTGGAGATTGTGGATGCCATTCATGGAATCAAGTGGGGTCGTCCACTGTATATGTGAGCTATTCCGCACTCACCACATGCATGGAAAGCTCGTTTGGAGATTTTCGGCGCCATTCTTGGTGTTACGGTCGTGGGGTCGTCCGATAATGTCCCATAGGAAAAATAGTGTGTGTGTGTGTGTGTGTGTGTTATATATATATATATATATATGTGAGCTATTCCACACTCACCCGATGCATCAAAAGCTTGCTTGGAGGGAGAGGGACACCATTCATGGTGTGATGGTTTCCACACACACAACACACACATACACACTTGCTGGCCCATGAGTGGCATATATAAAGCGTGAAAGCAGGTCGAAGATGGTCAAAGTTTGTCAACACAGTATGAGTCTTGTGCAGTGTGCCGCACTGTCCCTGGGCGCCGTTTCGTTGTGGCGCGAGCGCAAAACAAGCTGCAGGTTATGGAGACCACTTCCATGGCAGAAAGCGACTTTGGGAGCTCCGCTTTCGCTTGCAGTGCTCTTGCAGCAGTGCGAGGTTGCCGAAAGGACCGTAGCATGCAGAAGGTTTTCTCAGGTTGCTCATGAGCAAGCCCGATTGAGGGGATGTCAGAGAAGGCTTCAGTTTGTGAGCCATCTAAAGTATCTAACGCTTGAGTTAAGGCGTGCTGATGCATTTCACAATGCTTTCTTTGCCTGCGCACGCCTTTCAGACTTGGGACTCCCGCAGTTAACCCTTGGCGACGCACAAGATTCACCAGCAGCGAGAGAGAGAGAGAGAGAGAGAGAGAGAGAGACGAAGAGAGAGGGCTTTCTTGTAAAGCCCCCTGCACCACAGCCATGGCGAAAGAAAGAGGGCTTTCTTAGCATGATCCTGCTAGTATCTGCACGTTCTCTGAACCGTCGGAGGAGCTGCAGACTTAGGCACAATTCAAATGTCCTAACTGATGATGCCATGCAGGAGGCAAAAAAAACTGATGATGCAAGACCGAAATACATACCCAGATTGCTTGCTCTTTCGGTCGACACAGCATCACGCCTCACTCACCTCCAAGAGCCCGTCAAAGGCGGGCGGGCCGCAATGCGGGGGCCCTCACACGCCCCTTAAGCCTCGGGCAAGACTGCTTTCAGACTGGTTTTCATTCAAGCAAGCCTTAACGGAAGCAGACCGAACAGGAACTCGACCGGGAAGCACTGCCTGCGGTTCAGCGCGGTGATGACTATCACGACAGCTGTGCACTGCTTCCCGATGCATTCAAACCCGCAGGGAGGCCAAGGAGGCCGCGCGAAGATAAGATTTACCACTGTTAAGCTCCAAACGAACCCGAATCCTGCATTTCACGGTACCTGCAGGCCCAAATACACATGGGCCCACCACCCCCCTTGAAACAAGGAACACGCATGCACACCCACGGAAGAAGAACAGCAACAAATATTCCGGGCGGATTGAGCCTGAGCTGGCCAGGCAAATGAAACTCGTGCACGGCAGGGATTCCGAGTTTTCTCAAGGGATAGTTTCATCGAAGCTGTTTGCAGCCGGTGCACAGGTGAAGAGGTTTTAGGCATCACACCGAACAGCTTCAACGGTGGGGGCGGAACGCACCCCGTCCCTGATGCTGTGGAAAGACCAAACAAGAAATGCCGGAAGACCAGGAAGAGCATGAAGCGCCGGGGGCGCGCAGATGCCGGACCAGCCGGAGACGGAAGGGCGGCGGGAGTGAACACAGACAAGATTGAGAGAGAAGCAAACATTAGAGACTATGGACAGGAAGACCTTGCGGATACCAAGCAGCTCGGAAGACTCGAACAAAACAGCTGCACCGACGAAAGGTGCAAGCGCCCGATTCGGCAGGCCAGGGCGGTTCTGACTGTTTGGAGTTTGACTCTCACGGTAAAGGTCTCAGGTGGACTCTAGCCGACCGTCTCACACGGGGGTAAACACTGCCCACCTTGCGTAGCCCTGGCCCACCATCCAGTCAGCGGGGTTCATCTGAATGCAAGCGCTGTGGCAGGAAGATCTGTTCTTCGGGAATGAGATGGAGGAGCTTCCAGGGAAGTGGGGCTCGCTGATATGTCATGCTGACCACCCCCGAAACGATACGAGGCCGATGGCATGGCGCTCACATAGCTTATAGAACAAACGTGTGCAGGAGTTTGTGCCCATGAACGCTGCAGCACAGAGCATCTTGAACTTCACAGACGCCGGCTTGCACCAGGAAAAAAGTTGTTGTAGTAATGTCGGGTTGGCGAAGGGGAGTGGGCTAATAAAGCCTTGCGATGGCTTGTGGCTGCTCGACATGAGTGCCAACATCTAAGACTTACATTTGAGGGGTCTGAAGCGATCGCACTCCAGTTGCGGAAGATCTGGAAGGCCCTACATACTGGTCTGACGCCTTGTGCCTGCAAGGCAACAGAGGCATTTTGGGATTTGGGACTCTTTTCCATCTAAGGTGAATGCGCTGGAGATGGTCGTTGGCAAACTGAGCTATAACAGCCCTGGCGATCCTCCAGAGGTACCAATATCAAGATTGGAGGGGCCTCAAATCTTGCAAAAACATCCTGATTGTGCTCGGGTGTGTGTCGTGTTCCGGGAAAACGCCAGGGTCGCTGGGGTTGCAAGGGTTGGTGCTGCTGTGCAAAGAGGTAGTCAGGTAGTCGAAACATGATGAAGCTTTCACGATCAGGGGTGTGGTTCTGCGCCTTCACCGCTAGAACCGTCGCCAACACATGAAACGGTAACCGTTGGGAATGGAGGAAAGGAGGAGGTTTTCTCGTTATCAAGGCTCCTTGCGGCCTGGGGCTCCGCCCCAGCATATCACCACATGCTGACCACATGGGTTGGATTGAGGTGGCTGGAGAGCGCGAGCGCCCGGTCATCACGCTCCCGCTTTGGTCTTTTGATCAGTTCATCGTCACCGAAGAAGGCCCACATGTCTTGTTCAGCTGCACTTCTGAGTGCACATGGCTCCACTTCCAGCGTTGGGTAGCGGCTAACTTATTAATTGGGTCGATGGACTAGTGATTCGAGGTCCTCTAAAAGCCGTTTGAAGGGATCCTTAGCAGATGCGGCAGGCAGAACGGTCGAGTCACACTTCAAGCTGCCGTAACTAGGATTTCCAGCATTGTCGAAGTATTGAATTAGTTTCTGGGCTTTCGGGTGCACAGTTGCAGCTTCGTTTCCAAGGTGCAACACCGCCAGAGCTCACGGATCCAAATTTGCACAACCTCGGTCACAAGCGCTTCTCGGTTCAAACGTGGGGGCAGGATCAGGGCAACCTTCCAATGACAGCATCCCCAACTTAGACGCATCAGAATTCAAGCCCGGCCAACGACCGGAATCTTAGATGTCTGCCCATCGGGCGAAAATGCCATGCAACCCCGACCGACGAATAGTGTCCCAGCATCGGCATATATCAGTATGCAGGACATGTTGTAGCTTGCGGGAACTGGTTCCTGCAGCCAACCCTTTGCCACTTCTCGCTGAGACCCAGTAATTGCTTTGAGGTAGTGCCGGTCAGCGGGCTCGTGCATTTCTCAGCAAGAAGCTACTTCAATAACCGGACATGAAGGGGAACCTATCGCATTAAGACGTGCCAACTATCCAGGCTGCGGCCAAATGCGCAAGTACCAAGACATGGTGAACGGGCTCGAGCTCGTACCAGGGCCGACCTTCACGCTTCTCGTCACCACTAGGGGTAAGGGGTACTGGTGATCGGGCAGAAACAGGAAGTACTCCGATGATTCCTACGTTGTCGCTTTGGGGGCAGGGGCGCAGGCGTGGAAGCTTTGCACGAATCATACCCAGGGCTCAGGGGCAAGATGCATGAATATGCATGCAAGACATGCATTAATGAAGCCCTGTATATGTAACCATATAATGCACACGTAGTAGCTCTTTGAGAAAATCGTCTCTCCTGGGCATCATGAACTCTGGGCAGCGAAGCGCTTGGGCAAAAGGCCGCCGCCTTGGAAAGGCCCTTCTCCGAGTTCGGGAGTCTCCACAGGCCAAGAGGCTACCGAGGGCTTTGGACGCAGCGCTGTGATGCGGAGAGGATTTCAATGACTACCTCTGACTTCTTTTACCTGGAGGCTTGGCTTTTTCCCGCTGAGGATGGCCAACGCAAGTTCGGAGCCGCCGCATGTCCAGAATGAGTCACACAGCACGCGCCATTTTCAGTTGCTGCGCGCTCTGTAACACGTCGAGATGACTTGGGCTGTTCCAACTTGGTCCGCGACAACCCCCAAAATGTTGCAAGCCGTTGTTGCACATGTTGACATATTGGCAGTCCTTGACAGACTCTACAGAAACCTTGTCTTGAGCAGTAGTAGTAGGGGTAGTAGTCGAAGTCGAAGTCGCAGTCGTAGTAGTAGTAGTAGTAGTAGTCGTCGTAGTCGTCGTCGTAGTCGTCGTAGTCGTCGTAACGTAGTAGTGGCAGTAGCGGTGGCAGTAGTAGGAGGAGTAGGATTAGGAGCAGTAGGCGGAGTAGCAGTAGCAGTAGCACCAGCCGTAGCCGTATCGTAGCAGTAGTAGTAGCAGTAGAAGTAGCAGTGGCAGCCCACGCGGTTGCGAAAGCGGTTGCGGCTGCAGATGCAGCTGCAGTTGCAGCGGCAGCAGTGGCCCTCGCAGCAGAGCAGCAGTGGTAGTGGCAGTGACAGTAGCGGCAGCTGCAACAGCAGGTGTTGGTTTTGGTGTTGATGTCGTAGGCATGTAAATCGCATCCGTAATGAGTCGTTTCCATAGTTATGGCCGTTATGGCGATAGCAAGAGCAGAAGGAATAGTAGATCATGAGTAACTTGTAAATGCCAAAAAATGGTCTGGCTTGTCCGAGTTGCGAGAGCGTAAACCACAAGTAGTAAGCCGTAAGTAGCATGTAGTAAACAGTGCACAGTAGCAAGCACCATTACACAGTAAAGCAGTCAGCGGTACATAGAAAAAGTCGGCATGTAAATGGTGAGCAGTGAAATCCAAACGGCAAATGCGACATAGCAAAGAGTTAGCAGCCGCGCCCACGGTGTCACATTCAAATCTGCCTAATCGTAGGCAAGGGACTTCTTTGGCCCAGCAAAAAACAGCATTACCAGCGAGAGTATCTCCAGGTAGTAACAAGAACGCGATCGACAGCTTGACTGGCTGTGCATGATAAACCTGAAGACACTGGCGCAGACAGGTTCTGTATTTGGGGAGTCAGCCGTTTCCTCGATGTCATCCAGTGGAAGCTGGCGGTACCCATCCCTTTCCTCGGTCCTCTCGATCTGAGCCACAGCTAAAGAATGGGCAATGTTTGCACCTCTGTTTGGAGACGATGTGCTAATGTGTGCTCAGCCTTTTTCGTTGGATTCGCAGTGTGATGTCGGGTTGTGAGGGGCGATTTGGTTGTGTTGCAACACTCGGAAAATTGCAGAACGGGGTCGGGCGTGCAGCCGGCCCAGCTCTGGTTGGCAAGGTGTCAAACTGCAGTTTTGATGCAGCAAGCTCTTGAGGAATCAATTTGTGGGCAAGCCGCCAATGCACATTGTCCTCTACACCTTGGAGGACGCTTCAGACTTTCTTCCTGTTGTGGCCTTGAATTTGCTGCAGGGCTTTCGTTTTGGATCCGGCTCTCAACTCGATTGCAGTTGACCTAAAGCAGATCCCAAAACAACCGTTTCGACCGAGATTTGCCGGTCATTTGGTTGCAGAAGCTCGCAGCTGCAACACCTCGAAATGGCAAAATTCGGCCCTCAAAGTTACATCCCTGCAGCATTTGTTCCCTCGCCTAGAGCTTTGTCAGGACGCTGGCAACGAGAAGAGACATTTGCAATCTCGGAAGTGCTTTGGGCTTCAAATGCAATGCTCCCGTTGCATGGTTCGGCACAAGAGCCTGTTGGTATTTTGCACACCCGAAACTCCGGGCCTCTCGGGTTGAGATCTTCAGCAGTGCCCTTCAGAATCTGCCAACATCGAGGGAAGGGGAGAAGGTTGGAGAGAAGGCAGTGACGTGTTAAACGGGGTGGAGGGGTGGGAAGGCGGGGAAGAAGCGCAGATATGCGCACATGAGTGTTGTGGTCAGGAGAGAAGACAGCTCGGGCGTTTTCATGAACATGCCATGCATGTCCATGCGCAATCAGGCGCTATTTGTTCCGCCTGAGCTTCTGGAGCTCGCTTCAACGTCCCAAGCACGAGGTGGCTGTTTCAGCTTTTTTCGGACTGTTATGTCAGAATGATGGCATGACGCTACATTTTGAGGTGCTGGTGGAAAGAACTGATAGTTGATTGCACAGCGCAATTGCGAGTGAAAGGGTATGGTGGCGGACATGAACCAAACCTGGAACAGTTCTTGACCTTGTACGCATCCCGTCCGCATGCAAGAGGCTATGTGGATCGGCACAGCATTTGACACTGGCCGCTATAAGCCAGAACTCGTCGACCGTGTGTAGAGTGGCGCTACAGCGCTGCACGAAGATGCGCGTAAGTCCAGGATGTGCGTCGCTTTGCTGGACAATCTTTGCAGAGGCTGTGCCTCGGTCAATGGTATTTCTAATCAGCTTGGTCTTTTGTCGTTTAGGGTTTGTCGGATTGCCGAGGGTCAGGATTGAAAAGAGTGCAAGCTTCACATTTCGAGCTCACTTCTTTGATTTGTGCTGAGCCTGTGCCACACGCACGGCAACAGTACCTATCACTTGTGGCACAAATGCTACCAATTGTTGTTTGCTTGGGGTAAGGAGTAAAGAGGTAAGCTGTTTAATGTTTCACACTTTGCAACCCAGGGTCTTCACTAGCATTCTATCAGAACTAGCACAGCAGACCGCTCTACTTCCAATCTCGTTGTTCGTGACAGCTTGTTTGATGCCGGTTTGAAGTTGACCTGTTCTGTGCTAGGCTGCTAGGTGCAGTATACATGTTGCATGCCGAGAGAGGGTTGGAGGGTAGGCAGAGCACGGCTGCAAATCGACAGTACCAATGCATATGGAATTCTGCCTTGTAGGGCCATAGCACTGACCTAGCATGGCCGCATGGGCCCACCACCTCTTTCTCTCAGGATGCTCTCAGTCTACGGAAGGTTCAGGCAAGGGAGGGTCATAACCGGCAGGGCTGGCTTGCAAGCGGCGTCTCGCCACCAAGGCAAGGTCTGGTGGCAGCTGCAGAGTCGCAGGCGGCGAATCTGCTTCGGGCCGCAGAACTTCCTCGTCTTGCTTTGCTGCTTGCTTCAAGGAAGCGCAGGGCAAGGCGAAGCAGGGCTCTTAAAAGGTCTCCCTCCCTTGCCTTCCCTGGGCAGGGGCCCTCTTGATGCCTGGGAACGCGTACTTATGTTCTTGCTAGGGTGCTGTGGCTTCCCGATACTATGTTACAGTAGACACATGATCCGCGTGGGAGCCAGGTACGGCAACCAAGCTTTCACGAAAACGGTACAAAGTAGCCACACCAAAGTCGGAGCAGCCAGAATAGTGTTTTGGTCCTGGTATGCAGACACTCAGACTGACGTCCCTAAGGTGTGGCTTCAACCCATTCCTACCCTGCATGCAGAAATTCGGAGATTAGTGAGCCTTGCAGCCTTTGCTGCTATATCCCTGGGGCTGCATAGAGGGTTTCGTACCGCGGCCTGTGTACCGGGGCCTGTGGTCACATCCCGCCAGCTCGGATTTGTCAAGTTGCCAACTTGCAACATCCGGTCCAGCCTGTCTCAGTCAACCGTCAACCGCGGCACGGCCGCGTTTTTTGCCTAATTGGAAGAACAAATTTTGTGCCCTCTACAGTTCAATGGCATGCGGCGAACATCATTGCAAGTGTTGAGCTTGCAGTGCGTTCCATGCAATCAAGCATGCACGATTGGGTTGTGGCCATGCGTGATAGGGCACAGGACCCTAAGGTGTGGCTTCAATCAAGTCCTGCGAGCACCTGAGCCTTGCATGTGGTGCGTGTCACCGGTCCGGTGACGCCGGTCTGTGTTCCTTGTTGCTGGAGGAGCCACCCTCCGTGGGCATGCCAAAAAAGCATTTTCTTGGCGTCGTTTGAATTTGCGTCGTATGCCTTGAAGGTCATGACGCAGAGAATTTGTGGGGCACTGTGCCCTCAGACTTGCAGCAGTGCCCCACTAAACATTTGCTGAAGAACCGCAGATGTCAGTTTGATTGGATCTGTACATCGGCTCATCTTCCGGCCTCTGCCGAGGAGTTGTGATTTGGAGCATTTACAAGTTCTGCACATATATCGTCACTTGGGCTTTGGCTGGGCACCGTTGAAGCCAGTCTTTCCGGAGCGCACTTCCCAGGTGAGCTAGTGCTTAGCCTGCCGCTGAGCTTGCTTGTGACCAGCAGAAAGAATGGCCACTTGCAAACTCACAGCCCCACAGCTGAGAGTTTACACTCAGCCACAACATTGCTTGCCATAATCCGTTCTGGCTCCGCATCAGTTTCGAAGTCACACTCGCAATCGCAGATCTTAGAAGCTCAGCATTGGGTTTCACTGCCAAGTCATGCTAGTCTGCTATAGTCGATGCCCCTGCATTCTTGCCCATTCTTACTGCTCTTACCAGGTGGTCACTCGGTGCTGACAAGCAGGAAGAGAAGATGAATCAGAGGGTCGAGGATGGGGCAGTCGCGTCATACAAAAATGCTTTCGTTTCCATTCAGATTTGGGTGCCTCTTGAAGGAAGAGCAGATGTTGTATCTTGTGGTGAAGCCTTAATAGTTAGAAGAGAGATATTTTAGCAGGACAGATCCCGCCAACACGTCGTCGAGTAACAACGGCAGCACACCAAGCATTACGCAAAGACAGATGAAGATAGTACCTTAGACATGTATTCGTGAAGAGCCACGGACTGCGCAATGCTGGCAATGCCGTGCTTCCACAATGTGGACTGGGCTCGTTCTGATAGCGGTGACGCTGGTTTCCTCGCGTGCTTCCGAAGACAATCTGCGGATTGCATTGAAGCATGTGACCGGACTGACAGACACAGAACTGTCCCACTTCGCCGATGAGCTGCTCGCCCTGCAGCCGCCATCCCAACGAGATCTTTGGCAGCGAAAAGTTCACTGCACTTTGGGGACTTGTGGACCGGAGGCAACGAGTCGCCTTATCGCCGCTTTGGGAGAAAATGAGAAGTTGCCTTCCAGGACCTTCGAGCTCTTTCCTGGTGACCCGCTCTATAAATACTGGAAGGAGTCGGACACGCAGAAATTTCACTCCTGGATCGATGGGGAAGCTGCAGAGGAAGAAACGATCGAGGCCTTGATACCTGAGGGGCAGCCGCTGGCATCCGGCCGAATCCAAGCAGCTCACTTCACTTGGAAGGCGAAAGATTTGGTCTCAAAGCTCCTTGGCCCGGCAGCTGGAGCCTTTGGCGCGTTGGGGCGCTGCTTGGAGTGGGACACGCCCTTCTATACCATCAAAGCCTTTGGACCACTCTGCTTTCGCCACGATGTGCTTCAGTACGCCGATCCCCGCGCCGGGCATCCGGAGAAGATGCAGACCTACAGCAAGGGTACCAGGCATTGCGGGACCGGGGGCCCGGGGCCCCAAGATTCGGGTTGAAATAGTGGGAGGGTCGTGCTCTTCCAGATTCCATCTTCCATACCACGCGGATGGGAGGTGTACTCTTCGTGTTCACACGAGGTTTTTGTTCATTCTGCTTACATCTGCTGACGGCCATCACCCTTCTCTTGCCTTCCCTTGCGAGGGTGATGGCTTTGGACGTTCTCCGGCCACCCGATTGGATGCCTAGAGACTACGGCTTGGCCGAAGCCTCAGCTCCGAAGACAGCCTTTGCTGTAGCCTTTTCTGCTGCGGCCTCTCTGCCTTTCTTGAGTGGGAGTTTGGTTCAGCACGCTCAAGGTCGAAGTTTCAGAGTTCGGGTGCTGCAGATGTGCCGTGCCATCCCACATCCACATGCTGACTTGCAAACACTTGCTCAGCCTGCTTCTCCGTCCCTTGTGGTTTTTCCGTGGAAGCACGAAAACCTCCTCACCGTGCTTCCGTTTCTTCGTACGTCTGCATCGAAGACGCGGCAGCGCGGCATCGGCAACCTTCCCGGCACCGCAAGAACAGATGTGCTGCTCGGAGCTTGCCAGGTTGTTAATCTGTATACACCTCGCAGAGCCGGCAGCTGGGGGCGGGGACGGGGGCGCGCATGGCAACACTACGGGCTTTCGCGCCAGACATGTGTCGCACAGCAATGACAAGATGACATGAAGGCGTCGTGCTTCGCACCACCCTGTACATGAAAGGAATGGTTTGGTACATAGCTGAATTCTATCAGGCTTAAGAAACGATGGTCTCGTTGCGCTTGGGGTCTGGCGATGCATCATTTTGGGTGATCACGCTTGCGAAAGAATCCTCAAGTCAGCAATGCACGCGTGGACACGGGAGAGCAAGATGTCCTGAACATGCATTCAGGTCGTGTGCTTCTTCGTTTTGGAGCATGTTCCGGAAGCCCTAGCTTTGATTTACAGGGGGGGGAGTGTGCATGCTTGGGCAAAGCCGCACAGAGCCCCAGACAGAGAATCAAGAGATCCGAGGACCCACATCAAGCTGCAGGTGGCATCGCGAAGTTGCTTAACCCAGGCGTGGTGTGCGCGTAGCTCGAAGAGTTGAATTTTGTCCAGTTACCAATTCACGCTCAATCCGTGTTGCCGGCGAAGTTGCTACAGCTTTTTCTGATCGCTGCCGTGAATTCACCCGTCCGATTGCATTTGGCATGCGCCGTGTCCCTGATGCAGGGGTGATGCATTTGGCCCGTCCTCTGACTCCACTGATGATGTTACAGGATTAGGGAGTGATCAGAGCGTTGCAGGCGGATTCCTCTTGCTGGGCGCTCCCTTCATTGACGGTACCGCTCTCAGGGCCTCACCGTAGGGTGTCCGCATTTCATGTTTCTGCAGTACAAACTCGGCGAGCGCTCCGGAGACTTGTTCGTTTGGGGTACTTTCGGAGGAGTGCACGGTTGCCCTGACGACTTCTTCCGCTACACGCCGGCAGCTCTCTGGATGCCATCAAGAACCGGAGCAGACGTTGCCTCAATGGCAATTAAGGCCTCACGGGCTGCGAAAGGTGGCGGAGGGAGCCAAGCTGGAGGCCTGCGCCATGTTGCATGATGATGGAATTAAAATTGCGCGACGCGGCAGAACCGCCCACAATTTACTGCCCCCCGTAAGCTTCCAAGCAAGTATAACAGTATAACTAGCAAACTTAGTAAACCCTTCTCGAAGCTAGCCGGCTTGCCAGCTGCGCCTTTGCAAGCAATATCCAAGTGCAAGCGTTCGCGCAAGAGCGAGACCCCGCAAAATGCTGCAACTGAAATGCTCCTGCTCACAGGCCTGAAGTTTCTGGCGTTGGTGCTTTCGGCGCAGACTGAAGTCTAAGCTGCCGGCGTCTGGCTTTGGCTCCAGGTGCTGCTCGAGTTCTCTCCTGGCATGACGGTTGCTGCTGCTGGGGACACTTGCATCCATCTTCTGTGCAAGCTTTTCTCGCTGGCTTTGTCCGTCCAAATATGATGGGTGATCAGGACTTTATCGGCATGCGGTCCTCGTATTGGCGAACCGAGGCGGGATATGTGCAGTAGCTGCTGGCACTTCCAACACCATCCGGAGCCAGTGATGCCCTTCGCCCCAATCATTTGTCGCATTGGCTGTGCATGAGGATTTGTTGAAGCTCTCGGACACGCATCCAATGAATGTGCTTTGGGCTCATCTGCTGTCCGCCGCAACACGAAGAATGGCATCACTAGGGACGATCATGCGAGGTTTCTTCTGGCCAGAAAGCCCTTGATGCCTCACCAGAGGTGCAATGGTTCGTTCTCGCTTGCTTTTCTCATTCTCCGCGGTGCACTCTCTTGTCTCTTTGTCTGTATAACATCATATACACCGGAGCCTGTTTTGCTAATTACTTCATGTGCGGACTTGGCTGCTGCTGGCTGCTTTACCTGACTGACTCCAGCAGGCATGTTTCTGTCGGCCTTGCAGGGCGAAGTAGTTTTTTTCATGCAACTAGTTCACCACGCGTCCACTGCGACGCATGTGCACTTGAGTCCGGTGGGTTCAAGTCTGTGACTTTCTGATCATGAATAGATTATGCATGAGATGGTGATCGTGTGGAATTTGAAGTATTTGTTGGCCTTACCGTAATTGGTCCCGACGATGGTGGCTTCGGGGGTCCTCTTACCGCTATTGGCGGCGGAAAACCGAAACGTAAACTCGTTGTAGTGCCCTTCCAGCAATCCCTTTATGGAAAATATATAGGCTTCATTCTTACGGCCAGCGGGCGAGAGCATGCATGAAGTATTTTTATTCCCTCTCGCATGGCTGGAAGCGAACAGCGACCAACACCATGGATCAAAGAGATAAACTCTTGCGGTTTGCCATTGCGCGCCAAGCGCGCTGCTGTTTGCAAGTGTCTGCAAATGTCTGATGCATTCCGATGCGGATGCCCGCTTCTTGTTCAAGTTGAAGCGCTCTTTGTGGTGCGGCCGCCGGGAACTTTTAAGGGGATAGGTTTTCCTCGATCCAATCAATGCTCAGGTTCTTCGGTTTTCAATGTACAGGAGGCAGCATTTCGCATTACATGTCCTATGTTCTCCTGCATCTGCAAGGCGAACCTGGGCGCGGCACAACCAAACTGAATGGACATGAGTGCCGCTTGATTGAATGGCTTCCACTCCAAAACATGAAGCAAGCAAATGCGTTGGTCTCAGATGCTCCCGTTGTGGCAGAGCTCTGTCGTGAACCAGCTGCCCACCAAAAGACGCACGCTCCCAGAACAGCCGGATGGTGGGGAGCTGCAGTTGGTGTGTAATGCCGAGACGTTTCCAGTGGGCTTTTTGGTACATCTGTCATGCTCAGGCAGGCAGCTTCTGAAAGATGGCCAACCTGCTGGACTCAGAGTCCGGGCAGAAATCGTCAGCTTCACCAGTCGCGGTATGCTGTCGTTTTGCACAGCACGCAGCACTCTGCTTCTGGACAATCTTGCCGTAAGGATGTGCCTGGAGCACGTGTGTCCAATGCTGGGTGACGTTTCGGAGCGATCTCGGAAAAGTGTTGCTGAGGTCACGTGGGGACAGCAAGGCACAGCAAGGTACAACAAGCAGTTCACATGTCCCAAGCCTCGCTCTGACGTGAAAGCACATGCGCAAATGAATCCTACCAGGCCAGGCTGCATAGACTCTGCCTGATGAACTTTGGCTCTTGTGTGTTGAGCCTGGAGTGATCTGGAAAGTGATGCAGTGACCTTGTACTGCGAAATGCTGTGAAGCTGCACCGATTCAATCCACGAACCTCGTACCTGTTTCGGACACAAAACAGGGTTTGGCATCGGCGAGGCTGAGAGTACGAATGGCTTGCAGTAGTCACTTCTGTTGATGGCGAAATATCTTGCAAGTATGACTTTGTCTCCTTTCCCGGAGGGTTTGCCTCATGCAGTGTTTGTTGTAAATTCGTTCTGGAATTTTATCGAAACAAGCGCAGCCTCATAGTGGGTCTACCAAGTGTGCCTACGTGTGCTCACACAGGCTTAAAGGTCTGACAAAACTGTAACTGGCGGATGCATGGTTTGTTCATGTGGGCTTGATGCCATCGCATGTCGGTCGCAGACAGACGCCAGCTCGAGCCTCATTAAAATTACCTTCGCAGCAGCAGCAATGTCTGACATCTCGGAGTCGGACATCCCGGAGGAGGCCTGGTGGAGAGTCGTGCGTTGGTTAAGCTTTGACTCATTGCACGGACTGTGTTTGAAGGATTGGGCAGCATGGGTGGAGGATGAGGGCGACCTCCGCTGCTACTCCGAGGCGCTGCAGCGGGGGCCTCTGGCAGCCCCGTGCCGGGAGGCGATGGGCTCAGGGCTGCAGGATTTCTTGGATGCTTGGAGCGACTGCTGATGGCCAGATCTCGATCCTCGAGAACCCCGACCAGGATGTTGCAAAGAAGGCTGTGGGCCGTCGTTTCTGGCCCTCTTGCAAGCTTGGACCGCCGCGAGGCCCTTGCAATCATCCTGGAGCGGCTTGCGCACCGCAGCGGTCTGGACTACTGCGGCCCAGAGGAGTCGTTGGAGGCAAGTGCATGGCGGCGACGTCTGTGAGCGCGCATGTGTGTTTTCTTAACCTGTGTTTTTTTGCATGTTATGTGGCTGCAGCCGAAGCGGAACCTGGAAGCGACTCCAGCTCCAACTCAAGGGGGTAGTGACAAGGCGTGCTGCGGAACCTACTTTATGCCTGCTGTGGCATAGCCAAGCGGTGCAAGGATGCATGACACGGCTTCGTGGGTTGTCACGGAACTTGACCATGCTGTGGCATAGCCAAGCGTGGAGAGGAGGCACTTAGCGAATTTGCGCTGGAACTTGATTTGTCAATTGCGCATGTGTGGAGTCTGGGCACGCAGATGGGCGGATGTGAGTGAGCGAGGGTGTGGGCATGCTTGTGTTCGTGCGTGCATCGGCGGCTGGGTGGATGAGAGGGCGGGTGGTTGGGTGGGTGAGTGAGTGAGTGAGCGACAAGGCGTTAGAGCGGGTAGGGAACGAGTGCATGCACACGAGTATTTGTTGCAGGAAGTTCACCCAGTGCTGAACATAACAGTCTCAGCATTCTTTTCCCGCCCGGGTATCATGACTTGCAGCTGATGACTCTCCAGCCTGCGGGCCTGCTGTGGCATAGCCAAGCGGGACAAGATCATAACGTTTCGGCGTGTTGTGGCGCAGCCCAGCAGGTCGACTACGAAGCCGAAACGCTGCTTGTCGCCTCCAAGCATGGCCGCATTATTGGCGGAGCCACGCTGGCTCGGTGCCCTCGCGGCGTGGTGGTGAAGGAGGTCGGCGCGCTAGAAGGTCTGGGAGGTGGTACAGCGCTGCTGGCAGCTGCCGCATCGTTTGCGCGTCGCAACGATGCGGTCTACCTCCTCCTCTCGCCGGTCGACTCGGATGCCGCTCGGTTTTGGGGTCGTGGTGGCTTCTACCCCCTGCATTGGGGGTGGTTTGCCTACAACCGCTGCCCCGAGCGGCACTCCGAGTTGGCCGCGCGGCTTCACCACGAAGCTGACGGCCTGCTGACGGAGGCGGGCGGGTTCTGCCTGAAAGTTTTTTTGTGTAGCCATATTTATGGGGTTTTGGTTTTATTGGGATGTGGGGAGCGCGAGGTGGTTTATTATTGTTTGTTGGTCTTGCAGTCTTACATGTTCCCAGCAGCAGGGCAAACCAACTGGTCGTAGTGTCAGAGTGCTGATAAATCTATGTCGCTATGTCGCACGTGCAACGCACCTTTGACTAGACTCACAGTACTGGGATCCCTCATACACAAGTAACACACATACACACTGACATACACGTATACATGTACATGTACGTTATATATATATATATATATATACATATGTAATTACATATCAGCCAAGCGGGAGCCAAAGTATATAATATGTATTTGAAATTATATATGTCTATCTATGTTTATACTAATACATACACACGCACATACAGACAGTGCTAGTATATGATGGCTTTAAAGTTGTAAAGCATTCGAGAAAGTCAGTGTAGTATTCGCCAAACAAACTTTCGAAGACTTTGTAGCCGGTCTTGTATAGTATCTCTCGCTCTCTCTACTTACACACACTTCTATGCAAATATATATATATATATATATGTATATATATATATGTACATATGCACACATAAATACACACACACGCACGCACACGCACACACACGCACACGCACACGCACACGCACGCACACACACACACACACACACACACATGTAGCCCAAACAGCGAAGAGCACGCAGCAGTCAGTCCAACCCGACACACCGGAAAGTCACTCACAGAGCACCCAAGGGTCCCAAATCCGCTGCGTGCTAACACGCCAGCATGATGTGGAAATCACCACACCCACTGCAAACCGCCCGAGCTTTCGAGCGATTTGCTGTCAGAAATACTAGCGGCGCAGTGGTGTCAATATCATTTCCTACCTTATCGCGGACTGTACTGCAGCGAGAGTGCGATGGACGAAGTGCGGGAATACACGAGTGCTGTAGCGTATTGATACAATAGTTTGTTGTTCAACCTTCAAAGATGTGTAGATAGATGGGTAGATGAAGACATAAAGAGTTCAACAATATGTTGCCTGTATCGAAATTCATACTACAGAACATGCTGTGTAAGATGCAATCTGTAGTATGTGTTTCCACTCTACTCGAAAAGGGTCATAAAGGTGCCTGCTGTTGCCGGGGAGGCACAGCACCCTGTGATTCAAGCATTGGGACGACATGTCAACTGGCTGCATCATGCTAATGACGTAATACACGTCGGAGCCAAAGTAGGGGTAGTATGTTAATTCGGCGTGTCGGTGGCACGATGCTCTTGACAGTTGTCGTGCTTAGAGCCTCGAATCTTCTTGATGTGTGAATACAACCGAATGCAACCAAATACAACCTTGCGGAGGGATCCGGCACGTTGGTGTCGAAATCCTCGTGACGGGAGCCTGGCGTCTTTTTCACGCGGAAAAGTCAACAGTCTCAGCAGTCGGCTGGGCCAGGGACCAACAGACACAACAAGTCCGGGACTGCCAGACGGATGAGGTAGATTACTGTGCTGCTGGCAACCCAGGAGGAATCGGTCGCGGCGGCCAAGAGCTTCGCAGACGTGGCGGGCGAGTGGCATTGCAACTGGGTGCTGTGGCTCGAGTTTCTCGGTAGCAGTGCAGCTGCCCAGCGATTCAGCAAGTCGGATTGATAGATTCCAGATCTTGCATTCTGTCTCTACCGGTACTGAACGGTGGTTGACTGTTGCGTTTGTGCAAGTGAAGCTGAGTGGTTGGATTCTTGCCATGTCTCCCGGAATCTCAACAATGCGCCAGCCTCAGGCCTCGTCGGGTCCTGGCAGAGGAGGAGGCGATGCGGCGAGGGCCAGTTGTCCGCTTGTCATCTCTTGGGCGTGACCTTGCAGGCAAAGCAGGCCGCCAGGAAGGCGTTGCTCGACGCAGAAGCTGGCGATAGCATTCCTCCCTTACAGGCAATGGCGAGGTTTGCATGAGAGCGTTTTCGTATCGCACATGTAGCATGTATGCCCAGAGGCCGCCTTGGAAGCGGGTCGCAGCGCTGGCCTGCCGGCGGACGAGTTGGCACCGTCCGTGCAACGATTGGAAGAGCTGCAGCGGAGGGAGGAGGCCAACAAAGCACTGGAGGAGGCGATGAGGCGCCTGTGGTTAGTGCATCAGTGCATCTCCACTCGCTCGCTTTGCGTCGCTCTTCACTCTTGTGACTCTCGTCTTCTCGTGCTTGTGTGTCGTCTCTGCAGGCAAGGAACAACCGAAGATCTGCGAGAAGCCCTGACGCAAGCTGAGCTGGCTGGGGTCGGTGATCTCCTTCTCGATGACGCTCCGGAGTTGTTGCACCGCTGTGAGCAGCAGTCGCAGGCAACGCAAAGCTTGCAGGTTGCCGCGATATCCGGTGGCATGGCTGAGCTGCGTGCAGCTTTATGCCAAGGGCAGGTTGCTGGTCTCCCAGCCAACAGTATGGCTGCTGCCTCGGGGAAGCTAGCTGAATTGGAGGAGGAAGAGCAAGAAGCAGAGAGGCAGCGAGAGCTCGAACGACAGGCGATGTTAGGGCAGGCAAGGAGAGACCATGCCACAGAGATCTTGGCAGAGGCTTGCAGATCCCGGGATGTTTCCAGCCTGCAAACAGCCATTGATGCTGCACACAAGGCAGGGCTGGATGGCCACGGACTGGAACAGGCCACGAAGCTTTTAGCGGAGGTACTTGAGGAGGCGAAGCAAGCTTCTGCACGGCAGACTTTGCAAGAAGCCCTCGTGACCCGAAGCAGAGAGGCCCTCCAGGAGGCTGTGCGACAGGGTAAGACAGCGAGGTTGCCATCCAAAGAGCTCGAGGCTGCACGTGCCGCACTTGGGGCAGAAGATGCCAAAGCCAGAGCACACGCCAGGCTGCAGCTTGCTATTCAGGCCAAAGACATTGTGCAGTTGCGAGGAGCCATCGCGACGACAGAGCGAAGTGGCTTGACTGCGGAGGAAATGCGCGCAGCCAAAGACATGCTACGCGAGCTGGAGAACAAGGCCATTCGCAGTGAAGTATCGAAGTCCAAGTTTGAAATAGGATTGCTTGCTGTAGCGTGAATCCTGAAAAGTCCGCGCGATTCTGCAGTCTTACACGTTTGTGCGATGTGCGGGTAATCGGCGATTGGAGGAGTTGCAGAGGAACGAAGAGGCGAGCAAAGCCCTGCAAGAGGCGATGAGGTGCCCGTGGCTAGTGCATCTTCACTCTCTCGCTTTGCATCGCTCTTCACTCTTGTGACTCGTGCTTGTGTGTCGTCTCTGCAGGCAAGGAACAATCGAAGATCTGCGAGAAGCCCTGACGCGAGCTGAGCTGGCTGGGGTCGGTGATCTCCTTCTCGATGACGCTCGGGAGTTGTTGCACCGCTGCGATCAGCAGTCGAAGGCAACGCAAAGCTTGCAGCTTGCAGTGATTTCCGGTGGCATGGCTGAGCTACGTGCAGCTATATGCCAAGGGCAGGTTGCTGGTCTCCCAGCCAACAGTATGGCTGCTGCCTGGGGGAAGCTAGCTGAATTGGAGGAGGAAGAGCAAGAAGCAGAGAGAAAGCGAGAGCTCGAACGACAGGCGATGTTAGGGCAGGCAAGGAGAGACCATGCCACAGAGATCTTGGCAGAGGCTTGCAGATCCCGGGATGTTTCCAGCCTGCAAACAGCCATTGATGCTGCACACAAGGCAGGGCTGGATGGCCACGGACTGGAACAGGCCACGAAGCTTTTAGCGGAGGTACTTGAGGAGGCGAAGCAAGCTTCTGCACGGCAGACTTTGCAAGAAGCCCTCGTGACCCGAAGCACAGAGGCCCTCCAGGAGGCTGTGCGACAGGGTAAGGCAGCGAGGTTGCCATCCAAAGAGCTCGAGGCTGCACGTGCCGCACTTGGGGCAGAAGATGCCAAAGCCAGAGCACACGCCAGGCTGCAGCTTGCTATTCAGGCAAAAGACATTGTGCAGTTGCGAGGAGCCATCGCGACGGCAGAGCGAAGTGGCTTGACTGCGGAGGAAATGCGCGCAGCCAAAGACATGCTACGCGAGCTGGAGAACAAGGCCATTCGCAGTGAAGTATCGAAGTCCAAGTTTGAAATAGGATTGCTTGCTGTAGCGTGAATCCTGAAAAGTCCGCGCGATTCTGCAGTCTTACACGTTTGTGCGATGTGCGGGTAATCGGCGATTGGAGGAGTTGCAGAGGAACGAAGAGGCGAGCAAAGCCCTGCAAGAGACGATGAGGTGCCCGTGGCTAGTGCATCTTCACTCTCTCGCTTTGCATCGCTCTTCACTCTTGTGACTCGTGCTTGTGTGTCGTCTCTGCAGGCAAGGAACAATCGAAGATCTGCGAGAAGCCCTGACGCGAGCTGAGCTGGCTGGGGTCGGTGATCTCCTTCTCGATGACGCTCGGGAGTTGTTGCACCGCTGTGAGCAGCAGTCGAAGGCAACGCAAAGCTTGCAGGTTGCAGCGATATCCGGTGGCATGGCTGAGCTACGTGCAGCTATATGCCAAGGGCAGGTTGCTGGTCTCCCAGCCAACAGTATGGCTGCTGCCTCGGGGAAGCTAGCTGAATTGGAGGAGGAAGAGCAAGAAGCAGAGAGGCAGCGAGAGCTCGAACGACAGGCGATGTTAGGGCAGGCAAGGAGAGACCATGCCACAGAGATCTTGGCAGAGGCTTGCAGATCCCGGGATGTTTCCAGCCTGCAAACAGCCATTGATGCTGCACACAAGGCAGGGCTGGATGGCCACGGACTGGAACAGGCCACGAAGCTTTTAGCGGAGGTACTTGAGGAGGCGAAGCAAGCTTCTGCACGGCAGACTTTGCAAGAAGCCCTCGTGACCCGAAGCAGAGAGGCCCTCCAGGAGGCTGTGCGACAGGGTAAGGCAGCGAGGTTGCCATCCAAAGAGCTCGAGGCTGCACGTGCCGCACTTGGGGCAGAAGATGCCAAAGCCAGAGCACACGCCAGGCTGCAGCTTGCTATTCAGGCCAAAGACATTGTGCAGTTGCGAGGAGCCATCGCGACGACAGAGCGAAGTGGCTTGACTGCGGAGGAAATGCGCGCAGCCAAAGACATGCTACGCGAGCTGGAGAACAAGGCCATTCGCAGTGAAGTATCGAAGTCCAAGTTTGAAATAGGATTGCTTGCTGTAGCGTGAATCCTGAAAAGTCCGCGCGATTCTGCAGTCTTACACGTTTGTGCGATGTGCGGGTAATTGGAAACTCCGGCAGAATCTGGCAAAGAAGAACCACTTGTCATATCTTCTAGTCTTAGACGTGACCTTGCACAGCCAATGCAGGCCGCCAGGAAGGCGTTGCTGGACGCAGAAGCTGGCGACAGCATTCCTCACCTGCAGGCAGTGGCCACGTTTGCATGAGCTTTTGTGTATCGAGCATGTAGCATGTATGCCCAGAGGCAGCCTTAGAAGCGGGTCGCAGCGCTGGCCTGCGAGCGGACGAGTTGGCACCGTCCGTGCGGCGATTGGAGGAGTTGCAGAGGAACGAAGAGGCGAGCAAAGCTCTGCAAGAGGCGATGAGGCGCCCGTGGCTAGTGCATCTCCACTCGCTCGCTTTGCATCGCTCTTCACTCTTGTGACTCTCGTCTTCTCGTGCTTGTGCGTCGTCTCTGCAGGCAAAGAACAATCGAAGATCTGCGAGAAGCCCTGACGCGAGCTGAGCTGGCTGGGGTCGGTGCTCCCCGTCTTGACGACGCTCGGGAGTTGTTGCACCGCTGCGAGCAGCAGTCGAAGGCAACGCAAAGCTTGCAGCTTGCAGTGATTTCCGGTGGCATGGCTGAGCTACGTGCAGCTATATGCCAAGGGCAGGTTGCTGGCCTACCAGCCGACAGTATGGCTGCTGCCTCGGGGAAGCTAGCTGAATTGGAGGAGGAAGAGCAAGAAGCAGAGAGGCAGCGAGAGCTCGAACGACAGGCGACATTCTGCAGTCTTACACGTTTGCGCGATGTGCGGGTAATTGGAAACTCCGGCAGAATCTGGCAAAGAAGAACCACTTGTCATATCTTCTAGTCACTATAGTCTTAGACGTGACCTTGCACAGCCAATGCAGGCCGCCAGGAAGGCGTTGCTGGACGCAGAAGCTGGCGACAGCATTCCTCACCTGCAGGCAGTGGCGACGTTTGCATGAGAGCTTTTGTGTGTCGAGCATGTAGCATGTATGCCCAGAGGCCGCCTTAGAAGCGGGTCGCAGCGCTGGCCTGCGGGCGGACGAGTTGGCACCGTCCGTGCGGCGATTGGAGGAGTTGCAGAGGAACGAAGAGGCGAGCAAAGCTCTGCAAGAGGCGATGAGGCGCCCGTGGCTAGTGCATCTCCACTCGCTCGCTTTGCGTCGCTCTTCACTCTTGTGACTCTCGTCTTCTCGTGCTTGTGCGTCGTCTCTGCAGGCAAGGAACAATCGAAGATCTGCGAGAAGCCCTGACGCGAGCTGAGCTGGCTGGGGTCGGTGCTCCCCGTCTTGACGACGCTCGGGAGTTGTTGCGCCGCCGTGAGCAACAGTCGAAGGCAACCCAAGGCTTGCAGAATGCAGTGATGCGAGCGGCCATGGATGCAGCACACGCCAAAGCTGCAGCCCGAAGTCTTCTGGAATCCGCCCTGGCCTCCGATGACGTGGAGCGTCTGCGTGAGGCCCTGCGGCGTGGTGAGCTGGCGAAGTTGGAAGACGCCGAGATGGGGGCCTGCCGGCGAGCACTCGTGCAAGCCGAAGCACGTGCTCGGGCGGCGCTCCAAGTGGCCGATCGCTCAGCCTTGCCTTAGTCGCCTGAGTCCAAGAGGTGTGGCATGTCGATAGCGGTTGTCGTGGATGCATGACACAACCAGGCTATCGCCCAGCGGCTCGCCTTTTCCTTGCGCAGGGCCCCGCGTCTGAGCTTCTTCTAGAGGCGCCAAGAAAAGTAGTGCTTCTTCTGATGGTGCCTTCGGCTCTCTGTCCACAGAGGTCCCGTGCTTTGCCTCGTGGCACACGGCCTTCAGACTATCCTGATAATCACAAACATTCATACCAGGGGAGGGTTTTCTCGCGTCGCGTTGCGGAAATACACATCTTTCGGCGACCACCTTGCCGTTAAGCATTTCGGAGCCCGGCCTAGCATACATCCAAACATCAACCGTTTCAGCGTCACCTTGCGGTTAAGCATGTCGGAGCCCGGCCTAGCATACATCCAAACATCAACCCGCTCAGCGTCACCTTGCGGCTCAGAATTTCGGAGCCCGGCCTAGCATACATACATCCAAACATCAACCTTTTCAGCGCCACCTTGCGGTTAAGCATTTCGGTTTGTGGTGCATGTTTGGTCAGAGAAATGCAGAGCTGAACAGGTTTTCTAGGGAGATGCAGAATCGAATAGGTTTTCTACCATCTCACTGCGTTTAGAGGGTGTTTGACGGGTTTGTGGTGCATGTTTGGTCAGAGAAATACAGAGCTGAAAAGGTTTGAAAATACAGAATCGAATAGGTTTTCCACCATTTCACTGCGTTTAGATGGTGCTTGACGAGTTTCTGGTGCATGTTTGGCGACTTTGATGTAAGATGTGCTAGATGGAGCATTTCAGTGCGTTTAGCTGCTGTTTGACGGGTTTGTGGTGCATGTTTGGTCAGAGAAATACAGAGCTGGGTAGGTTTTCCCGGGAAATACAAAATCGAATAGGTTTTCTACCATTTCACTGCGTTTGGAAGCTGTTTGACGGGTTTGTAGTGCATGTTTGGCGGCTTTGATGTAAGATGTGCTGGATGCAGCATTTCAGTGCGTTTAGCTGGTGTTTGACGGGTTTGTGGTGCATGTTTGGTCAAAGAAATACAGAGCTGAGTAGGTTTTCCCGGGAAATAGAGAATCGAATAGGTTTTCTACCATTTCACTGCACTTAGAGGGTGTTTGACGGGTTTGTGGTGCATGTTTGGTCAGAGAAATACAGAGCTGAATAGGTTTTCCAGGGAAATACAGAATCCAATAGGTTTTCTAACATTTCAGAATTTCACTGCGTCTAGATGGTGTTTGACTAGCTTGTGGTGTATAGTTTGGTGACTTTATTGTAAGATATGACAGATGCAGCTGTAGTAGTGCAACAACAGAAACGAGCGTCACCTTCGTGATTCGCAACTAAAACGCATCACTGCCGCATCAAAATGGCAGCCGTCCGTGCCGAGAACACTGGCGTCCGCGAGGTTTCGTTATGTTTCGTTAAGTTGGCAGCGACCAACAAAATCCAGCGTCACCTTCGGGATTAAGGTTGGTGTGATGTGTAATTCCGGCGCTGATGTGTAATTCCCTGAAATCAGCGTCTACATGGGGTGATGCATATTTCTGCGCCCTGATGTGTGTGAACCCTCCCCCCCCCTAGTAGACCCACGGCGAGAGCAAGAACAGCTCCTCCTGCACGCAGACTCTGTTGAAGATATCAGCCCCTGGTCTAGGACTGATCTCACTTGAAGAGTTCCCTCCTAGAAGCCTGGTCGTGCTGGCAGGGATGCACTGCAATGTCATCTTGAGAGCCACAAGGCTCAAAGCTTCATCTCAAGACAATCACCAGTGCATGCAGAAGAGCAACCAATTTGTATTGGCCACGATCCGGAGCAGCATGGTTCCCACCGGTTAAGCACTCACTACGGTCGTTTCAACCTTGCTGCATAGACACGAACCACTCCTTCACTTGTTGAGTTTCACTCAAATTGCGCAGCTATTTTCAAGTTCCAATTTACGTGAAGCCGCGTGTGCAAATCTGTATACGGTGTGTGCAGTGCCCAAAAGTTGACAGCAGCAGCGCAAACGACACACAGCATCTGACGTCAGCATGGCTTGGGAATCTTTGCTTCGCCTGGCTCCGGTGACTCCTGGCATGCCGCAGCAGGCAGGGCGCTCGCTTGATCCCAAGTCTGTCCCTTCTCTCGCCTAGTGTAGCTCCTGAGTGTTGAAAGCCGTGGAAGCTTCCACAAGCAGCACAGTGCGGTCAGTGAGCCTTCTTGCCGGCAAGTTTGCAGGCACATACATCGCCCCGGTGAACCGACAATTCACACGACGAGGAGGCATTCTAGATGTGGCTTGTGGAAGACGGATTCGACCCCCGCATGACCAGCAGCCGCATGCAGCCACTGTTCTCGTTTAACTGTTCACCCTTCTCTCTTGGACGGGACAAGACTTTGTCAAGTTGAGTGAGTTCAGGTCAGAGTCACAGGCGTCCGGGGGTTATGTTGCACTGTTTCGCTTTACTGTCATTTCATAGATTTCTGTCGAAGTTTTGTTCTACCTTCGTCGTTATTTCTTTTGTTGGTGCTTTGTTCGTTTTATGTCTGGGGTTTCTACTGGTCCAGGCGCTGTATCAATTTTATCCCAGAATATTGTCACGAAATACATGTGGCAATTCCTGATTTTTTTGCGGGAGTGTGATCCCACGAAGTGTCGAGCTATCACCCAAACCCTGAGCGAGCTCATCTTTTTGTGGCCGGCTCTTGGAGGCACTTCAGAGAGACCTCGTTCAAAAAGTTTTTCTTCAGACATCGCTTTTGATTCAACATGTTTCAGTGGTTTTGCACTGTCAACAGTGAGAGCTCAAAAGCTAACTTTGTTCTGGTGCCGACAGCCCCCACATGGACAGGACACCACAGTGAGAAATCAATCCTTTCACTGTCAAACTCTACTTGTGGTCTGGTTTTTCCAAAATGAGTTTAATCAAGCGGCAATCATAAAAGCCATCCCTTGAGAATTGCTGCATTTCCCATACCAGTGTTCATTCTGCTTACATCTGCTTACGGCCATCACCCTTTTTTTTCCTGGGTGATGGCTTTGGACGTTCTCCGGCCACCCGATTGGATGCCTAGAGACTACGGGCTGGGGGAAGCCTCCGCTCCGATGACAAGCTTTTGAGCGCGTTTGTTCTTGCCGTGGCCTCTTGTTGCGTAGGAGTTTGGGGCAACAGCAACACGCTCAAGCTCGAAGTTTCAGAGTTGGGGTGCTGCAGATGCACGGTGCCTTTTGTGGACTTGAAAACATTTGCTCAACCTGCTCATGCCTGCACTTCTCCGTTCCTTGTGATTTCTCCGTGGAAACACGAAAAACCTCGTCACTGTGCTTTCATCTAGTTGTACGTCTGCATCGAAGACGCCCGCCCCTTGTCCACACCCAAACCCTGGCAGCGCGGCCTCGGCAACCTTCCTGGCACCGCAAGCCTCAAACAGATGTGCTGCTCGGGAATAACTCCCGGCTTCGTGTGCTCAGCTATGCAGGAGGCAAACAAGATTTGCTTCTCGGAAAGCTTGCCAGGTTGCAAACCCTGACCTACCGGTGCTGAGTCTGCGCATGGTAACAAAACGGGCTTTCGAGCTTCGTGTTTCGTACCAGTACTACCGTGTACTTGAAAGGAATGGTTTGGTACATAGCTGAGTTCTATCAGGCTTAAGCAGGCGATGGTCGTGTTGTGCATGTCTCGATGCGCTTGGGGTCTGGCGATGCATCATTTTGGCTGATCACGCTTGTGAAAGGATTCCTCATGTCAGCAATGCATGCGTGGACACGGGCGAGCAAAATGTCCTGAACATGCATTCAGGTCGTGTGCTTCTTCGTTTTGGAGCATGTTCCGGAAGCCCTAGCTTTGATTTACAGTTGTGGAGTGTGCATGCTTGGGCAAAGCCGCAGAGAGCACCAGTCAGAGAATCAAGAGACCCGAGGACCCACATCAAGCTGCAGGTGGCATCGCGAAGTTGCTTAACCCAGGCGTGGTGTGCGCGTAGGTCGGAGAGTTGAATTTTGTCCAGTTACCAATTCACGCTCAATCCGTGTTGCCGGCGAAGTTGCTACAGCTTTTTCTGATCGCTGCCGTGAATTCACCCGTCCGATTGCATTTGGCATGAGCCGTGTCGGTGATGCATTTGGGCCGTTCTCCGACTCCACTGATGATGCTACAGGATTAGGCGAGTGATCAGAGCGTTGCAGGCGGATTCCTCTTGCTGGGCGCTCCCTTCATTGACGGTACCGCTCTCAGGGCCTCACCGTAGGGTGTCCGCATCTCATGTTTCTGCAGTACAAACTCGGCGAGCGCTCCGGAGACTTGTTCGTTTGGGGTACTTTCGGAGGAGTGCACGGTTGCCCTGACGACTTCTTCCGCTACACGCCGGCAGCTCTCTGGATGCCATCAAGAACCGGAGCAGACGTTGCCTCAATGGTAATTAAGGCCTCACGGGCTGCGAAAGGTGGCGGAGGGAGCCAAGCTGGAGGCGCCACAATTTACTGCCCCCTGTAAGCTTCCAAGCAAGTATAACTAGCAAACTTAGTAAACCCTTCTTGAAGCTGGCCGGCTTGCCAGCTGCGCCTTTGCACGTAATATCTTTCAACGTGCAAGCGCTTCAAGTCCATGTTCGCGCAAGAGCGAGACTGCAGAACGCTGCAACTGAAATGCTCCTGCTCACAGAGCCTGAAGTTTCTGGCGTTGGTGCTTTCGGCGCAGACTGAAGTCTAAGCTGCCGGCCTCTGGCTTTGGCTCCAGGTGCTGCTCGAGTTCTCTCCTGGCATGACGGTTGCTGCTGCTGGGGACACTTGCATCCATCTTCTGTGCAAGCTTTTCTCACTGGCTTTGTCTGTCCAAATATGACTATGATGAGTGATCAGGACTTTATCGGCATGCGGTCCTCGTATTGGCGAACCGAGGAGGGTTACATGCAGTAGCAGCATGCGAGAAAGCCCTTGATGCCTCACCGGAGGTGCAATGGTTCCTTCTCGCTCGCTTTTCTCATTCTCCGCGGTGCACTCTTACTCTTTCTTTTCGTCTATATAACAGAAAATGCACCTGAGCCTGTTCATTCGGATGATTGCTACTTCATGCATGCTCCGCCCGGCTGGCCCCAAGAGTGAAACATAGATATTTTCCGTCCGGGGATGGCTGGCAGGGCACTACAAGGAGTTTGGGTCTTGGTTACTTGGTTGTTTCGCCGCCAGCAGCGGCAAGAGGACCCACTAAGCCACCATCGTTGGGATCCCTTGGAGGACTGATGGGCTGTTTTCTCAGTAGTTCCCCTATGTCAGACGGGCATTGACTTCCAAGCAAAGCGAGAGGGAAAAGCCATCGTCGGGAACCAATTACGGTAAGACCAACAAATACTATGAGACTACGAATCCACCCGATCATCACCTCACGTGTAATGTGCTCATGATCAGAAAACCCACCGGACTCAATGTGTGTCTATGTGGGAATGTGTGGTTGGGGTTGGGTGGTGCGCACGCGCGGTCTTATGTATGCCTCCGGAGATCATGAATGCATGGCAGAAGGGAGTTAGAGCATGTTTTCGTTTTTTCACAGAACCTTCCTTCGCAGTAAAGCCGGGTGGTGAATTAGTTGCATGAAGAAAAGCGAGGTGGCTGACAGAAACATGCCTGCTGCAGTTAGCTAGGCACAGCAGCAACCATTCATCAAACTTCAATGCTTGCTGACTGCCCGGGTGAGGATTTGTTGAAGCTGTCGGACGCGCACTCCATGGGCCTGCGTTGGTCTCAGATGCTCCCGTTGTGGCAGAGCTCTGTCGTGAACCAGCTGCCCACCAAAAGACGCACGCCGCCCAGAACAGCCGGATGGTGGGGAGCTGCAGTTGGTGTGTAATGCCGAGACGTTTCCAGTGGGCTTTTTGGTACATCTGTCATGCTCAGGCAGGCAGCTTCTGAAAGATGGCCAACCTGCTGGACTCAGAGTCCGGGCAGAAATCGTCAGCTTCACCAGTCGCGGTATGCTGTCGTTTTGCACAGCACGCAGCACTCTGCTTCTGGACAATCTTGCCGTAAGGATGTGCCTGGAGCACGTGTGTCCAATGCTGGGTGACGTTTCGGAGCGATCTCGGAAAAGTGTTGCTGAGGTCACGTGGGGACAGCAAGGCAAAGCAAGGTACAACAAGCAGTTCACATGTCCCAAGCCTCGCTCTGACGTGAAAGCACATGCGCAAATGAATCCTACCAGGCCAGGCTGCATAGACTCTGCCTGATGAACTTTGGCTCTTGTGTGTTGAGCCTGGAGTGATCTGGAAAGTGATGCAGTGACCTTGTACTGCGAAATGCTGTGAAGCTGCACCGATTCAATCCACGAACCTCGTACCTGTTTCGGACACAAAACAGGGTTTGGCATCGGCGAGGCTGAGAGTACGAATGGCTTGCAGTAGTCACTTCTGTTGATGGCGAAATATCTTGCAAGTATGACTTTGTCTCCTTTCCCGGAGGGTTTGCCTCATGCAGGGCTTGTTGTAAATTCGTTCTGGAATTTTATCGAAACAAGCGCAGCCTCATAGTGGGTCTACCAAGTGTGCCTACGTGTGCTCACACAGGCTTAAAGGTCTGACAAACTGTAACTGGCGGATGCATGGTTTGTTCATGTGGGCTTGATGCCATCGCATGTCGGTCGCAGACAGACGCCAGCTCGAGCCTCATTAAAATTACCTTCGCAGCAGCAGCAATGTCTGACATCTCGGAGTCGGACATCCCGGAGGAGGCCTGGTGGAGAGTCGTGCGTTGGTTAAGCTTTGACTCATTGCACGGACTGTGTTTGAAGGATTGGGCAGCATGGGTGGAGGATGAGGGCGACCTCCGCTGCTACTCCGAGGCGCTGCAGCGGGGGCCTCTGGCAGCCCCGTGCCGGGAGGCGATGGGCTCAGGGCTGCAGGATTTCTTGGATGCTTGGAGCGACTGCTGATGGCCAGATCTCGATCCTCGAGAACCCCGACCAGGATGTTGCAAAGAAGGCTGTGGGCCGTCGTTTCTGGCCCTCTTGCAAGCTTGGACCGCCGCGAGGCCCTTGCAATCATCCTGGAGCGGCTTGCGCACCGCAGCGGTCTGGACTACTGCGGCCCAGAGGAGTCGTTGGAGGCAAGTGCATGGCGGCGACGTCTGTGAGCGCGCATGTGTGTTTTCTTAACCTGTGTTTTTTTGCATGTTATGTGGCTGCAGCCGAAGCGGAACCTGGAAGCGACTCCAGCTCCAACTCAAGGGGGTAGTGACAAGGCGTGCTGCGGAACCTACTTTATGCCTGCTGTGGCATAGCCAAGCGGTGCAAGGATGCATGACACGGCTTCGTGGGTTGTCACGGAACTTGACCATGCTGTGGCATAGCCAAGCGTGGAGAGGAGGCACTTAGCGAATTTGCGCTGGAACTTGATTTGTCAATTGCGCATGTGTGGAGTCTGGGCACGCAGATGGGCGGATGTGAGTGAGCGAGGGTGTGGGCATGCTTGTGTTCGTGCGTGCATCGGCGGCTGGGTGGATGAGAGGGCGGGTGGTTGGGTGGGTGAGTGAGTGAGTGAGCGACAAGGCGTTAGAGCGGGTAGGGAACGAGTGCATGCACACGAGTATTTGTTGCAGGAAGTTCACCCAGTGCTGAACATAACAGTCTCAGCATTCTTTTCCCGCCCGGGTATCATGACTTGCAGCTGATGACTCTCCAGCCTGCGGGCCTGCTGTGGCATAGCCAAGCGGGACAAGATCATAACGTTTCGGCGTGTTGTGGCGCAGCCCAGCAGGTCGACTACGAAGCCGAAACGCTGCTTGTCGCCTCCAAGCATGGCCGCATTATTGGCGGAGCCACGCTGGCTCGGTGCCCTCGCGGCGTGGTGGTGAAGGAGGTCGGCGCGCTAGAAGGTCTGGGAGGTGGTACAGCGCTGCTGGCAGCTGCCGCATCGTTTGCGCGTCGCAACGATGCGGTCTACCTCCTCCTCTCGCCGGTCGACTCGGATGCCGCTCGGTTTTGGGGTCGTGGTGGCTTCTACCCCCTGCATTGGGGGTGGTTTGCCTACAACCGCTGCCCCGAGCGGCACTCCGAGTTGGCCGCGCGGCTTCACCACGAAGCTGACGGCCTGCTGACGGAGGCGGGCGGGTTCTGCCTGAAAGTTTTTTTGTGTAGCCATATTTATGGGGTTTTGGTTTTATTGGGATGTGGGGAGCGCGAGGTGGTTTATTATTGTTTGTTGGTCTTGCAGTCTTACATGTTCCCAGCAGCAGGGCAAACCAACTGGTCGTAGTGTCAGAGTGCTGATAAATCTATGTCGCTATGTCGCACGTGCAACGCAACTTTGACTAGACTCACAGTACTGGGATCCCTCATACACAAGTAACACACATACACACTGACATACACGTATACATGTACATGTACGTTATATATATATATATATATATACATATGTAATTACATATCAGCCAAGCGGGAGCCAAAGTATATAATATGTATTTGAAATTATATATGTCTATCTATGTTTATACTAATACATACACACGCACATACAGACAGTGCTAGTATATGATGGCTTTAAAGTTGTAAAGCATTCGAGAAAGTCAGTGTAGTATTCGCCAAACAAACTTTCGAAGACTTTGTAGCCGGTCTTGTATAGTATCTCTCGCTCTCTCTACTTACACACACTTCTATGCAAATATATATATATATATATATATATATATATGTATATATATATATATATATATATATATATGTACATATACACACATAAATACACACACACGCACGCACACGCACACGCACACACACACACACACACACACACCTACGCACGCACGCACGCACGCACGCACGCACACACACACACACACACACACATGTAGCCCAAACAGCGAAGAGCACGCAGCAGTCAGTCCAACCCGACACACCGGAAAGTCACTCACAGAGCACCCAAGGGTCCCAAATCCGCTGCGTGCTAACACGCCAGCATGATGTGGAAATCACCACACCCACTGCAAACCGCGCGAGCTTTCGAGCGATTTGCTGTCAGAAATACTAGCGGCGCAGTGGTGTCAATATCATTTCCTACCTTATCGCGGACTGTACTGCAGCGAGAGTGCGATTGGACGAAGTGCGGGAATACACGAGTGCTGTAGCGTATTGATACAATAGTTTGTTGTTCAACCTTCAAAGATGTGTAGATAGATGGGTAGATGAAGACATAAAGAGTTCAACAATATGTTGCCTGTATCGAAATTCATACTACAGAACATGCTGTGTAAGATGCAATCTGTAGTATGTGTTTCCACTCTACTCGAAAAGGGTCATAAAGGTGCCTGCTGTTGCCGGGGAGGCACAGCACCCTGTGATTCAAGCATTGGGACGACATGTCAACTGGCTGCATCATGCTAATGACGTAATACACGTCGGAGCCAAAGTAGGGGTAGTATGTTAATTCGGCGTGTCGGTGGCACGATGCTCTTGACAGTTGTCGTGCTTAGAGCCTCGAATCTTCTTGATGTGTGAATACAACCGAATACAACCAAATACAACCTTGCGGAGGGATCCGGCACGTTGGTGTCGAAATCCTCGTGACGGGAGCCTGGCGTCTTTTTCACGCGGAAAAGTCAACAGTCTCAGCAGTCCGCTGGGCCAGGGACCAACAGACACAACAAGTCCGGGACTGCCAGACGGATGAGGTAGATTACTGTGCTGCTGGCAACCCAGGAGGAATCGGTCGCGGCGGCCAAGAGCTTCGCAGACGTGGCGGGCGAGTGGCATTGCAACTCGGTGCTGTGGCTCGAGTTTCTCGGTAGCAGTGCAGCTGCCCAGCGATTCAGCAAGTCGGATTGATAGATTCCAGATCTTGCATTCTGTCTCTACCGGTACTGAACGGTGGTTGACTGTTGCGTTTGTGCAAGTGAAGCTGAGTGGTTGGATTCTTGCCATGTCTCCCGGAATCTCAACAATGCGCCAGCCTCAGGCCTCGTCGGGTCCTGGCAGAGGAGGAGGCGATGCGGCGAGGGCCAGTTGTCCGCTTGTCATCTCTTGGGCGTGACCTTGCAGGCAAAGCAGGCCGCCAGGAAGGCGTTGCTCGACGCAGAAGCTGGCGATAGCATTCCTCCCTTACAGGCAATGGCGAGGTTTGCATGAGAGCGTTTTCGTATCGCACATGTAGCATGTATGCCCAGAGGCCTCCTTGGAAGCGGGTCGCAGCGCTGGCCTGCCGGCGGACGAGTTGGCACCGTCCGTGCAACGATTGGAAGAGCTGCAGCGGAGGGAGGAGGCCAACAAAGCACTGGAGGAGGCGATGAGGCGCCTGTGGTTAGTGCATCAGTTCATCTCCACTCGCTCGCTTTGCGTCGCTCTTCACTCTTGTGACTCTCGTCTTCTCGTGCTTGTGTGTCGTCTCTGCAGGCAAGGAACAACCGAAGATCTGCGAGAAGCCCTGACGCAAGCTGAGCTGGCTGGGGTCGGTGATCTCCTTCTCGATGACGCTCCGGAGTTGTTGCACCGCTGTGAGCAGCAGTCGCAGGCAACGCAAAGCTTGCAGGTTGCCGCGATATCCGGTGGCATGGCTGAGCTGCGTGCAGCTTTATGCCAAGGGCAGGTTGCTGGTCTCCCAGCCAACAGTATGGCTGCTGCCTCGGGGAAGCTAGCTGAATTGGAGGAGGAAGAGCAAGAAGCAGAGAGGCAGCGAGAGCTCGAACGACAGGCGATGTTAGGGCAGGCAAGGAGAGACCATGCCACAGAGATCTTGGCAGAGGCTTGCAGATCCCGGGATGTTTCCAGCCTGCAAACAGCCATTGATGCTGCACACAAGGCAGGGCTGGATGGCCACGGACTGGAACAGGCCACGAAGCTTTTAGCGGAGGTACTTGAGGAGGCGAAGCAAGCTTCTGCACGGCAGACTTTGCAAGAAGCCCTCGTGACCCGAAGCAGAGAGGCCCTCCAGGAGGCTGTGCGACAGGGTAAGGCAGCGAGGTTGCCATCCAAAGAGCTCGAGGCTGCACGTGCCGCACTTGGGGCAGAAGATGCCAAAGCCAGAGCACACGCCAGGCTGCAGCTTGCTATTCAGGCCAAAGACATTGTGCAGTTGCGAGGAGCCATCGCGACGACAGAGCGAAGTGGCTTGACTGCGGAGGAAATGCGCGCAGCCAAAGACATGCTACGCGAGCTGGAGAACAAGGCCATTCGTAGTGAAGTATCGAAGCCCAAGTTTGAAATAGGATTGCTTGCTGTAGCGTGAATCCTGAAAAGTCCGCGCGATTCTGCAGTCTTACACATTTGTGCGATGTGCGGGTAATCGGCGATTGGAGGAGTTGCAGAGGAACGAAGAGGCGAGCAAAGCCCTGCAAGAGGCGATGAGGTGCCCGTGGCTAGTGCATCTTCACTCTCTCGCTTTGCATCGCTCTTCACTCTTGTGACTCGTGCTTGTGTGTCGTCTCTGCAGGCAAGGAACAATCGAAGATCTGCGAGAAGCCCTGACGCGAGCTGAGCTGGCTGGGGTCGGTGATCTCCTTCTCGATGACGCTCGGGAGTTGTTGCACCGCTGCGAGCAGCAGTCGAAGGCAACGCAAAGCTTGCAGCTTGCAGTGATTTCCGGTGGCATGGCTGAGCTGCGTGCAGCTTTATGCCAAGGGCAGGTTGCTGGTCTCCCAGCCAACAGTATGGCTGCTGCCTGGGGGAAGCTAGCTGAATTGGAGGAGGAAGAGCAAGAAGCAGAGAGGCAGCGAGAGCTCGAACGACAGGCGATGTTAGGGCAGGCAAGGAGAGACCATGCCACAGAGATCTTGGCAGAGGCTTGCAGATCCCGGGATGTTTCCAGCCTGCAAACAGCCATTGATGCTGCACACAAGGCAGGGCTGGATGGCCACGGACTGGAACAGGCCACGAAGCTTTTAGCGGAGGTACTTGAGGAGGCGAAGCAAGCTTCTGCACGGCAGACTTTGCAAGAAGCCCTCGTGACCCGAAGCAGAGAGGCCCTCCAGGAGGCTGTGCGACAGGGTAAGGCAGCGAGGTTGCCATCCAAAGAGCTCGAGGCTGCACGTGCCGCACTTGGGGCAGAAGATGCCAAAGCCAGAGCACACGCCAGGCTGCAGCTTGCTATTCAGGCCAAAGACATTGTGCAGTTGCGAGGAGCCATCGCGACGACAGAGCGAAGTGGCTTGACTGCGGAGGAAATGCGCGCAGCCAAAGACATGCTACGCGAGCTGGAGAACAAGGCCATTCGCAGTGAAGTATCGAAGTCCAAGTTTGAAATAGGATTGCTTGCTGTAGCGTGAATCCTGAAAAGTCCGCGCGATTCTGCAGTCTTACACGTTTGTGCGATGTGCGGGTAATCGGCGATTGGAGGAGTTGCAGAGGAACGAAGAGGCGAGCAAAGCCCTGCAAGAGGCGATGAGGTGCCCGTGGCTAGTGCATCTTCACTCTCTCGCTTTGCATCGCTCTTCACTCTTGTGACTCGTGCTTGTGTGTCGTCTCTGCAGGCAAGGAACAATCGAAGATCTGCGAGAAGCCCTGACGCGAGCTGAGCTGGCTGGGGTCGGTGATCTCCTTCTCGATAACGCTCGGGAGTTGTTGCACCGCTGTGAGCAGCAGTCGAAGGCAACGCAAAGCTTGCAGGTTGCAGCGATATCCGGTGGCATGGCTGAGCTACGTGCAGCTATATGCCAAGGGCAGGTTGCTGGTCTCCCAGCCAACAGTATGGCTGCTGCCTCGGGGAAGCTAGCTGAATTGGAGGAGGAAGAGCATGAAGCAGAGAGGCAGCGAGAGCTCGAACGACAGGCGATGTTAGGGCAGGCAAGGAGAGACCATGCCACAGAGATCTTGGCAGAGGCTTGCAGATCCCGGGATGTTTCCAGCCTGCAAACAGCCATTGATGCTGCACACAAGGCAGGGCTGGATGGCCACGGACTGGAACAGGCCACGAAGCTTTTAGCGGAGGTACTTGAGGAGGCGAAGCAAGCTTCTGCACGGCAGACTTTGCAAGAAGCCCTCGTGACCCGAAGCAGAGAGGCCCTCCAGGAGGCTGTGCGACAGGGTAAGGCAGCGAGGTTGCCATCCAAAGAGCTCGAGGCTGCACGTGCCGCACTTGGGGCAGAAGATGCCAAAGCCAGAGCACACGCCAGGCTGCAGCTTGCTATTCAGGCCAAAGACATTGTGCAGTTGCGAGGAGCCATCGCGACGACAGAGCGAAGTGGCTTGACTGCGGAGGAAATGCGCGCAGCCAAAGACATGCTACGCGAGCTGGAGAACAAGGCCATTCGCAGTGAAGTATCGAAGTCCAAGTTTGAAATAGGATTGCTTGCTGTAGCGTGAATCCTGAAAAGTCCGCGCGATTCTGCAGTCTTACACGTTTGTGCGATGTGCGGGTAATTGGAAACTCCGGCAGAATCTGGCAAAGAAGAACCACTTGTCATATCTTCTAGTCACTATAGTCTTAGACGTGACCTTGCACAGCCAATGCAGGCCGCCAGGAAGGCGTTGCTGGACGCAGAAGCTGGCGACAGCATTCCTCACCTGCAGGCAGTGGCCACGTTTGCATGAGAGCTTTTGTGTATCGAGCATGTAGCATGTATGCCCAGAGGCCGCCTTAGAAGCGGGTCGCAGCGCTGGCCTGCGGGCGGACGAGTTGGCACCGTCCGTGCGGCGATTGGAGGAGTTGCAGAGGAACGAAGAGGCGAGCAAAGCTCTGCAAGAGGCGATGAGGCGCCCGTGGCTAGTGCATCTCCACTCGCTCGCTTTGCATCGCTCTTCACTCTTGTGACTCTCGTCTTCTCGTGCTTGTGCGTCGTCTCTGCAGGCAAAGAACAATCGAAGATCTGCGAGAAGCCCTGACGCGAGCTGAGCTGGCTGGGGTCGGTGCTCCCCGTCTTGACGACGCTCGGGAGTTGTTGCACCGCTGCGAGCAGCAGTCGAAGGCAACGCAAAGCTTGCAGCTTGCAGTGATTTCCGGTGGCATGGCTGAGCTACGTGCAGCTATATGCCAAGGGCAGGTTGCTGGCCTACCAGCCGACAGTATGGCTGCTGCCTCGGGGAAGCTAGCTGAATTGGAGGAGGAAGAGCAAGAAGCAGAGAGGCAGCGAGAGCTCGAACGACAGGCGACATTCTGCAGTCTTACACGTTTGCACGATGTGCGGGTAATTGGAAACTCCGGCAGAATCTGGCAAAGAAGAACCACTTGTCATATCTTCTAGTCACTATAGTCTTAGACGTGACCTTGCACAGCCAATGCAGGCCGCCAGGAAGGCGTTGCTGGACGCAGAAGCTGGCGACAGCATTCCTCACCTGCAGGCAGTGGCGACGTTTGCATGAGAGCTTTTGTGTGTCGAGCATGTAGCATGTATGCCCAGAGGCCGCCTTAGAAGCGGGTCGCAGCGCTGGCCTGCGGGCGGACGCGTTGGCACCGTCCGTGCGGCGATTGGAGGAGTTGCAGAGGAACGAAGAGGCGAGCAAAGCTCTGCAAGAGGCGATGAGGCGCCCGTGGCTAGTGCATCTCCACTCGCTCGCTTTGCGTCGCTCTTCACTCTTGTGACTCTCGTCTTCTCGTGCTTGTGCGTCGTCTCTGCAGGCAAGGAACAATCGAAGATCTGCGAGAAGCCCTGACGCGAGCTGAGCTGGCTGGGGTCGGTGCTCCCCGTCTTGACGACGCTCGGGAGTTGTTGCGCCGCCGTGAGCAACAGTCGAAGGCAACCCAAGGCTTGCAGAATGCAGTGATGCGAGCGGCCATGGATGCAGCACACGCCAAAGCTGCAGCCCGAAGTCTTCTGGAATCCGCCCTGGCCTCCGATGACGTGGAGCGTCTGCGTGAGGCCCTGCGGCGTGGTGAGCTGGCGAAGTTGGAAGACGCCGAGATGGGGGCCTGCCGGCGAGCACTCGTGCAAGCCGAAGCACGTGCGCGGGCGGCGCTCCAAGTGGCCGATCGCTCAGCCTTGCCTTAGTCGCCTGAGTCCAAGAGGTGTGGCATGTCGATAGCGGTTGTCGTGGATGCATGACACAACCAGGCTATCGCCCAGCGGCTCGCCTTTTCCTTGCGCAGGGCCCCGCGTCTGAGCTTCTTCTAGAGGCGCCAAGAAAAGTAGTGCTTCTTCTGATGGTGCCTTCGGCTCTCTGTCCACAGAGGTCCCGTGCTTTGCCTCGTGGCACACGGCCTTCAGACTATCCTGATAATCACAAACATTCATACCAGGGGAGGGTTTTCTCGCGTCGCGTTGCGGAAATACACATCTTTCGGCGACCACCTTGCCGTTAAGCATTTCGGAGCCCGGCCTAGCATACATCCAAACATCAACCGTTTCAGCGTCACCTTGCGGTTAAGCATGTCGGAGCCCGGCCTAGCATACATCCAAACATCAACCCGCTCAGCGTCACCTTGCGGCTCAGAATTTCGGAGCCCGGCCTAGCATACATACATCCAAACATCAACCTTTTCAGCGCCACCTTGCGGTTAAGCATTTCGGTTTGTGGTGCATGTTTGGTCAGAGAAATGCAGAGCTGAACAGGTTTTCTAGGGAGATGCAGAATCGAATAGGTTTTCTACCATCTCACTGCGTTTAGAGGGTGTTTGACGGGTTTGTGGTGCATGTTTGGTCAGAGAAATACAGAGCTGAAAAGGTTTGAAAATACAGAATCGAATAGGTTTTCCACCATTTCACTGCGTTTAGATGGTGCTTGACGAGTTTCTGGTGCATGTTTGGCGACTTTGATGTAAGATGTGCTAGATGGAGCATTTCAGTGCGTTTAGCTGGTGTTTGACGGGTTTGTGGTGCATGTTTGGTCAGAGAAATACAGAGCTGGGTAGGTTTTCCCGGGAAATACAAAATCGAATAGGTTTTCTACCATTTCACTGCGTTTGGAAGCTGTTTGACGGGTTTGTAGTGCATGTTTGGCGGCTTTGATGTAAGATGTGCTGGATGCAGCATTTCAGTGCGTTTAGCTGGTGTTTGACGGGTTTGTGGTGCATGTTTGGTCAAAGAAATACAGAGCTGAGTAGGTTTTCCCGGGAAATAGAGAATCGAATAGGTTTTCTACCATTTCACTGCACTTAGAGGGTGTTTGACGGGTTTGTGGTGCATGTTTGGTCAGAGAAATACAGAGCTGAATAGGTTTTCCAGGGAAATACAGAATCCAATAGGTTTTCTAACATTTCAGAATTTCACTGCGTCTAGATGGTGTTTGACTAGCTTGTGGTGTATAGTTTGGTGACTTTATTGTAAGATATGACAGATGCAGCTGTAGTAGTGCAACAACAGAAACGAGCGTCACCTTCGTGATTCGCAACTAAAACGCATCACTGCCGCATCAAAATGGCAGCCGTCCGTGCCGAGAACACTGGCGTCCGCGAGGTTTCGTTATGTTTCGTTAAGTTGGCAGCGACCAACAAAATCCAGCGTCACCTTCGGGATTAAGGTTGGTGTGATGTGTAATTCCGGCGCTGATGTGTAATTCCCTGAAATCAGCGTCTACATGGGGTGATGCATATTTCTGCGCCCTGATGTGTGTGAACCCTCCCCCCCCCCTAGTAGACCCACGGCGAGAGCAAGAACAGCTCCTCCTGCACGCAGACTCTGTTGAAGATATCAGCCCCTGGTCTAGGACTGATCTCACTTGAAGAGTTCCCTCCTGGAAGCCTGGTCGTGCTGGCAGGGATGCACTGCAATGTCATCTTGAGAGCCACAAGGCTCAAAGCTTCATCTCAAGACAATCACCAGTGCATGCAGAAGAGCAACCAATTTGTATTGGCCACGATCCGGAGCAGCATGGTTCCCACCGGTTAAGCACTCACTACGGTCGTTTCAACCTTGCTGCATAGACACGAACCACTCCTTCACTTGTTGAGTTTCACTCAAATTGCGCAGCTATTTTCAAGTTCCAATTTACGTGAAGCCGCGTGTGCAAATCTGTATACGGTGTGTGCAGTGCCCAAAAGTTGACAGCAGCAGCGCAAACGACACACAGCATCTGACGTCAGCATGGCTTGGGAATCTTTGCTTCGCCTGGCTCCGGTGACTCCTGGCATGCCGCAGCAGGCAGGGCGCTCGCTTGATCCCAAGTCTGTCCCTTCTCTCGCCTAGTGTAGCTCCTGAGTGTTGAAAGCCGTGGAAGCTTCCACAAGCAGCACAGTGCGGTCAGTGAGCCTTCTTGCCGGCAAGTTTGCAGGCACATACATCGCCCCGGTGAACCGACAATTCACACGACGAGGAGGCATTCTAGATGTGGCTTGTGGAAGACGGATTCGACCCCCCGCATGACCAGCAGCCGCATGCAGCCACTGTTCTCGTTTAACTGTTCACCCTTCTCTCTTGGACGGGACAAGACTTTGTCAAGTTGAGTGAGTTCAGGTCAGAGTCACAGGCGTCCGGGGGTTATGTTGCACTGTTTCGCTTTACTGTCATTTCATAGATTTCTGTCGAAGTTTTGTTCTACCTTCGTCGTTATTTCTTTTGTTGGTGCTTTGTTCGTTTTATGTCTGGGGTTTCTACTGGTCCAGGCGCTGTATCAATTTTATCCCAGAATATTGTCACGAAATACATGTGGCAATTCCTGATTTTTTTTGCGGGAGTGTGATCCCACGAAGTGTCGAGCTATCACCCAAACCCTGAGCGAGCTCATCTTTTTGTGGCCGGCTCTTGGAGGCACTTCAGAGAGACCTCGTTCAAAAAGTTTTTCTTCAGACATCGCTTTTGATTCAACATGTTTCAGTGGTTTTGCACTGTCAACAGTGAGAGCTCAAAAGCTAACTTTGTTCTGGTGCCGACAGCCCCCACATGGACAGGACACCACTGTGAGAAATCAATCCTTTCACTGTCAAACTCTACTTGTGGTCTGGTTTTTCCAAAATGAGTTTAATCAAGCGGCAATCATAAAAGCCATCCCTTGAGAATTGCTGCATTTCCCATACCAGTGTTCATTCTGCTTACATCTGCTTACGGCCATCACCCTTTTTTTTCCTGGGTGATGGCTTTGGACGTTCTCCGGCCACCCGATTGGATGCCTAGAGACTACGGGCTGGGGGAAGCCTCCGCTCCGATGACAAGCTTTTGAGCGTGTTTGTTCTTGCCGTGGCCTCTTGTTGCGTAGGAGTTTGGGGCAACAGCAACACGCTCAAGCTCGAAGTTTCAGAGTTGGGGTGCTGCAGATGCACGGTGCCTTTTGTGGACTTGAAAACATTTGCTCAACCTGCTCATGCCTGCACTTCTCCGTTCCTTGTGATTTCTCCGTGGAAACACGAAAAACCTCGTCACTGTGCTTTCATCTAGTTGTACGTCTGCATCGAAGACGCCCGCCCCTTGTCCACACCCAAACCCTGGCAGCGCGGCCTCGGCAACCTTCCTGGCACCGCAAGCCTCAAACAGATGTGCTGCTCGGGAATAACTCCCGGCTTCGTGTGCTCAGCTATGCAGGAGGCAAACAAGATTTGCTTCTCGGAAAGCTTGCCAGGTTGCAAACCCTGACCTACCGGTGCTGAGTCTGCGCATGGTAACAAAACGGGCTTTCGAGCTTCGTGTTTCGTACCAGTACTACCGTGTACTTGAAAGGAATGGTTTGGTACATAGCTGAGTTCTATCAGGCTTAAGCAGGCGATGGTCGTGTTGTGCATGTCTCGATGCGCTTGGGGTCTGGCGATGCATCATTTTGGCTGATCACGCTTGTGAAAGGATTCCTCATGTCAGCAATGCATGCGTGGACACGGGCGAGCAAAATGTCCTGAACATGCATTCAGGTCGTGTGCTTCTTCGTTTTGGAGCTTGTTCCGGAAGCCCTAGCTTTGATTTACAGTTGTGGAGTGTGCATGCTTGGGCAAAGCCGCAGAGAGCACCAGTCAGAGAATCAAGAGACCCGAGGACCCACATCAAGCTGCAGGTGGCATCGCGAAGTTGCTTAACCCAGGCGTGGTGTGCGCGTAGGTCGGAGAGTTGAATTCTGTCCAGTTACCAATTCACGCTCAATCCGTGTTGCCGGCGAAGTTGCTACAGCTTTTTCTGATCGCTGCCGTGAATTCACCCGTCCGATTGCATTTGGCATGAGCCGTGTCGGTGATGCATTTGGGCCGTTCTCCGACTCCACTGATGATGCTACAGGATTAGGCGAGTGATCAGAGCGTTGCAGGCGGATTCCTCTTGCTGGGCGCTCCCTTCATTGACGGTACCGCTCTCAGGGCCTCACCGTAGGGTGTCCGCATCTCATGTTTCTGCAGTACAAACTCGGCGAGCGCTCCGGAGACTTGTTCGTTTGGGGTACTTTCGGAGGAGTGCACGGTTGCCCTGACGACTTCTTCCGCTACACGCCGGCAGCTCTCTGGATGCCATCAAGAACCGGAGCAGACGTTGCCTCAATGGTAATTAAGGCCTCACGGGCTGCGAAAGGTGGCGGAGGGAGCCAAGCTGGAGGCGCCACAATTTACTGCCCCCTGTAAGCTTCCAAGCAAGTATAACTAGCAAACTTAGTAAACCCTTCTTGAAGCTGGCCGGCTTGCCAGCTGCGCCTTTGCACGTAATATCTTTCAACGTGCAAGCGCTTCAAGTCCATGTTCGCGCAAGAGCGAGACTGCAGAACGCTGCAACTGAAATGCTCCTGCTCACAGAGCCTGAAGTTTCTGGCGTTGGTGCTTTCGGCGCAGACTGAAGTCTAAGCTGCCGGCCTCTGGCTTTGGCTCCAGGTGCTGCTCGAGTTCTCTCCTGGCATGACGGTTGCTGCTGCTGGGGACACTTGCATCCATCTTCTGTGCAAGCTTTTCTCACTGGCTTTGTCTGTCCAAATATGACTATGATGAGTGATCAGGACTTTATCGGCATGCGGTCCTCGTATTGGCGAACCGAGGAGGGTTACATGCAGTAGCAGCATGCGAGAAAGCCCTTGATGCCTCACCGGAGGTGCAATGGTTCCTTCTCGCTCGCTTTTCTCATTCTCCGCGGTGCACTCTTACTCTTTCTTTTCGTCTATATAACAGAAAATGCACCTGAGCCTGTTCATTCGGATGATTGCTACTTCATGCATGCTCCGCCCGGCTGGCCCCAAGAATGAAACATAGATATTTTCCGTCCGGGGATGGCTGGCAGGGCACTACAAGGAGTTTGGGTCTTGGTTACTTGGTTGTTTCGCCGCCAGCAGCGGCAAGAGGACCCACTAAGCCACCATCGTTGGGATCCCTTGGAGGACTGATGGGCTGTTTTCTCAGTAGTTCCCCTATGTCAGACGGGCATTGACTTCCAAGCAAAGCGAGAGGGAAAAGCCATCGTCGGGAACCAATTACGGTAAGACCAACAAATACTATGAGACTACGAATCCACCCGATCATCACCTCACGTGTAATGTGCTCATGATCAGAAAACCCACCTGACTCAATGTGTGTCTATGTGGGAATGTGTGGTTGGGGTTGGGTGGTGCGCACGCGCGGTCTTATGTATGCCTCCGGAGATCATGAATGCATGGCAGAAGGGAGTTAGAGCATGTTTTCGTTTTTTCACAGAACCTTCCTTCGCAGTAAAGCCGGGTGGTGAATTAGTTGCATGAAGAAAAGCGAGGTGGCTGACAGAAACATGCCTGCTGCAGTTAGCTAGGCACAGCAGCAACCATTCATCAAACTTCAATGCTTGCTGACTGCTCGGGTGAGGATTTGTTGAAGCTGTCGGACGCGCACTCCATGGGCCTGCGTTGGTCTCAGATGCTCCCGTTGTGGCAGAGCTCTGTCGTGAACCAGCTGCCCACCAAAAGACGCACGCCGCCCAGAACAGCCGGATGGTGGGGAGCTGCAGTTGGTGTGTAATGCCGAGACGTTTCCAGTGGGCTTTTTGGTACATCTGTCATGCTCAGGCAGGGGCGACAGCTTCTGAAAGATGGCCAACCTGCTGGACTCAGAGTCCGGGCAGAAATCGTCAGCTTCACCAGTCGCGGTATGCTGTCGTTTTGCACAGCACGCAGCACTCTGCTTCTGGACAATCTTGCCGTAAGGATGTGCCTGGAGCACGTGTGTCCAATGCTGGGTGACGTTTCGGAGCGATCTCGGAAAAGTGTTGCTGAGGTCACGTGGGGACAGCAAGGCACAGCAAGGTACAACAAGCAGTTCACATGTCCCAAGCCTCGCTCTGACGTGAAAGCACATGCGCAAATGAATCCTACCAGGCCAGGCTGCATAGACTCTGCCTGATGAACTTTGGCTCTTGTGTGTTGAGCCTGGAGTGATCTGGAAAGTGATGCAGTGACCTTGTACTGCGAAATGCTGTGAAGCTGCACCGATTCAATCCACGAACCTCGTACATGCCCGTTTCGGACGGAGAGGCTGAAAGTACGAATGGCATGCAGTAGTCACATTTCTGTGTGACGTGCTCAAGGAGCATGTGCCACGTTCGGCACAGGTGCTCCTATTGATTGCGAAATATCTGGCAAATAATACGACTTTGTTTCGTTCCCCGGCGGGTTTGCCTCAGGCTGTGCTTTTTTCTTTATCAAAACAAGTGCAGCCTCAAAGTGGGTCTACCAACAGTGTCTGATAATTAATGTCTGATAGAAATTGCTGAGTTGAGGCTGAACAAGTCTTGTACGGCTCCTAATTACTTATGCAGGCTGCTCCTTGCCGAGTTTGCCTACAAGACTAGTGGCTAGCAGTTTTCGAGCTGGAGCACGTGTGGATAAGAAGCACTTTCATTGTGTGTCGGCAAGGCAACGAGGCCGCATGGGATTAGAGTGTCACCTAGGACGGACGCGCAGCTCAAGAGCTTCCCGTCTCTGTCGCGAAGCGTGCATATACTAGGTGCATGCGGTGGTCCCACAGCTCCCGCGCTGGCACGGTGGCATTGATTCTACACGCCTTCGCTAACTTGATGAATCGCGCTCCCGCCACAGCGCTGTTTGCATGTTGGGGTGTTTCGGGTACAAATCGTGCGCTTGCTTCATTACCAGTTGTGTTTTGGCCTTGAAAGCGCTAAGTCCCGAGAGTCTTCGCACTGGCGGTGTTTCGAAATCTATGAAACGACTTGATTAATTAGACGAAATTCGATATCGCTCCCGTTATACTTCGGGCTTATTTGGGCTGTTTTGGGGGGTGCATGGTTTTCCTGTCACAGTACCCAACGTGTTGACCTCCCGAAATCGTGCTTCCACACAGCGACGTGAAGATTCTGGGTGCGACTCGTCTTGGTTCCTCCAAAGTCGAGCTCCCACCATGCTCCACATATTTGGGTGGGCAGGGGCTGCCAGCGCACTGCCGTGGGTGTTCTGGCACCACGCAATCGTGCTTCCGCTACATTGTGGCGTGCGTTTGGGATTCAGCTTTTCAAGCGATCTTTGCCGATATCGGTTGCTGTTAGATCTTGAGGGTGCTCGTTCGTCTCCGAGCGTGTGAGAGCACTGAACTGTCCGCTGCAGGCACGGCACAGACTTGCTCATCTTGAATTTGAGCATGATGGTCAGTTGCGAATGCAGGATAACGACCCTGACATGTGTGGCTCCTTCAGTCTAGGACCTTAGGAGTTCTTTGCCAATTCGTGTGTCAAGGTCGCGATGACGACTTTGGGACTCTGCGGTCCGGGCTGTTTCCTGATGTGCTCAGGCTGCTCAGGGAGTGACCTATGCGGGCTTGCGCTTTTAGTTCGATTCCTCTGGGACCAGACATGCTTTAGTCAAGCGTCTATGTTTGTATCTTGTTTTGAAGTTCAATGGGCACGTGTGTCACGATCCTGCGGGGTTGCTTGTCCATCTAGCCATAAGGATGTTTTGGTATCGTCGAGGAGGTTCCGAGGGTCTAAACCGGCGGAAGGGGGGGCGTAACAGCGACTTGTCCGCGAGATCTGGTCCCGTGCATGCGGGCGGGCGTCCGAACATCCTGTCGCGAAGCTTACGGCAGAAGGACCATGTTGGTCAGCGGGGTTTCGGCTTTGTTCAGAAAAGGACAAGGAGGCATCACGCATCTAGAGTTTTCTGCTTGTTGGCGCCATCACATTACATGGTGCTAGCAGCTTCCGATCCTTGCTTGAGAATGCGTCGCGAACATTCTTTCTTTTTTTGTCCTCCTGTAAACCGTCGTTGCTGGCCGCAGGTTCTGTTCATGAGTGCTTTAGAGAGGTTTGTTCCCCCGCCGTACTGTACCGGCTCAGCAAGCTGTTTCCGGTAGCGAACACGACGTTCTTGTATGTTCTTGTTTGCGCCTTCACCCAGTTTGTTCAGCCGGTCTTCGTAGCACGTCACCAGCTGGAGCCCTGTATGCAGGATTTTGCGCAGCCATTCCAGCCATGGAGTCCAGCAAGCGGCAGCGCTTGGACATGGACGGCGGTTTGCAGACGTCCTTTGCTGAAGTTGTCCACCGGATGGGACTTCCTGCAAGAGCTGGGGAAGGGGAGGGAGAAGAGGAGGAGGACGACAAGGAGTTCGCGAAGAGCATCGTGAAGAGCCCAGTTAGGAAAAGAGCAAGATCACCTGAATTATCAAAGGGTGGTAATGATTCATGCAGCACAGCCACGGGTTCGCCGGTCCTTTCAAGCTCGTCACAAACATCCTGGCACTCCGCGTCACAGCAGTCTGACTGGAAGGCCGATGCATGGCAGGAGGTGAAAGACGAGGTAAAAGAGGAGGCGGAACCAGAGGAGCCAGAAACCCCTTGTCACCAGGACGAGGACTACCAGCCGTCCGACGAGCTCAAGCAGGAAAGGTTAGAGGAGGAGTGGTACGACTGGTACGAGTGCGGCTGGTACGAGTACAACGACCAACAGGAGCCACTCCTCAAAGAAGAGGTGCACGAGGACGCCACACCGCAGGACACCATGCAAACCGCCCCAGTGAAGCATAGCATGCACGGTGTTCGGAAACAAGACGAGACGGCCCAAAACATTCTTGATCGCATACGATCTGGACAATTGGAGTCCCTCGCAGAGAACATGAAAGAGCAAGTTGGTATGAAGAACAGAGAATGGGTGAGAATGTGCCCAAAGCAAGCAGTTGCAGTCTTCTTGACCCGCTACAGGGCGCCAGAGCCTGCTTTCTCCTACGAGTATCGGTCGAGTCATGGGGGCCATTACGCCACGCTCATCACGCCTGCATTCTTTGGGAAGCGCTTCAGCGGTTCGTGGCGACACAGCATAGGCCAGGCGGAGGAATCTGCCTGCGATGTGTTTAAGCACGACCCGCAGGTGAACGAGGCAAGGTTGAAGCTGCCACCGACGATGGGCAAAATTCGAGACCGAGCTAAACTTAACAATGCTCAGAAGGACCAGCTGCGAGCAGAAGGTTACGATCCTTCAGTTGTCCAGTGGGACATGTGGAAGACGATCTTCAATGGCTTCAGAGAGATGGGCTGCAGGACAGCTATGTGGGATGAGAACACAGACGAGTTTTAGGAGGGACGATCATCCAAGCAGCCGGCGGAGAGCCAAAGGTGACGTTTCAGCATTGTTTGCAAGATGTGGCAGCTTGCGTGCACTTAGCTATGCAGCTATTATGAGTGCAGGTACACCATGGGAGTGCCGAAGAGGTTGGCGGGGATGGCTTCTTTGTTTAAGCATGCCATGTCCGTAGATGCTCAGTGGTGCTGGAACATTGCTACGAAGAGGCCCCAGTTGATGTTGAAATGACATGAGATGACCGTTATAAGGGTTCCTCGCAAGTGTGCTTTCCCTTCACTAGTCTACAGCGAAATTGATGTTTGCTTGGGTTTAGGGTGAACCATAGCCTGCGCAAGCCTGTGTTCCCATTTCTGGAGTTTGCCGCCAGGGCCAGTCGCAGTTAGCTTTGTGCCGTATAGAGTTTGTAGCATCCTCCTCGTCACCAGAATCACCAGAAGCTGGCATGTTGACCTGTAACTGTGTAGCTTCTCGAGTTCTATGATCTGGGATGGCTTTGTGTTGTAGCTTCCGGATTTCCACAACAGGACCCGGAAAGGAGGCTGCGTGTCCGACGTTTCACAGCAGATGCCGCAAATCAAATCTATGCAGTTGGATACGACGCTCGCCGCATGCGTCTCCTGCTGTGGTTTTCGCGCGCCTCATTGTAAACAATACATGCGCGACTCTTGCTCTTGGCTCTCGGAAGGGTTGAATTGCAGTAGTACTTGGTGAAAGCGATTCAGGATGTTCCTCTGGGTCTCGCAAGCTACGGGGAGAAGCCTGGTCCGCTGTTCCAGAAAGTGCTTGTTCCAGAAAGTACTTGTGGGAAGGCAGTTTCGGGCTGATCCTCGAGCTACAGGTAGGTGCGAGAAAGCGATTCTGACGTGCGTTTGAATCTTCCTGACCTCGCCGGTACTTGGGGAAAGCATTTTGGCAGTGTCATGGTTGTCTGCTGGTGCTGTCCTGCTGGTCTCGGGTTTGCTGGCGCTGTCTTGGTTTCGTGTGTTATTGGGGTCGTGCTACTCACTTACTGCTCCTGATGAGCAACCTGCACCCCAAACTGTACCCCAAACGCGGAGCCCCAATAGCTGCCCCAACAGCATCTGTGGGTGCCCGGTCCGTCCTAACAGCGACTAGCCAAGCCCATTCGGAGATATTGTGAGGCTCAGCCTGCAATGCTTGGCCTTGGCTGCGACAGACACCCTCGAGGCCCTCTGCCCTCTTCTGTGTTACCTTCTCATTCAGCTGGTGGCATCGAATCATGTTCAATGCTGTCTTGCTTTGGACTGTCTGCGGCGCGGGCTCGAATAGTGAGTAGTTTGCAGCTTCTTGCGTGATGACAAAAATGTCCCGCAAGAGGCCTCGAGCGGCAGTTGTAGACGCCAATGACGCTTCGGTGACACATTGCATGCAAGGTGTTCGGAAAGAAGACGAGACGGCCCAACGCATTCTTGATCGCATACGATCTGGACAACTGGAGTCCCTCGCGGAGAAAATGAAAGAGCAAATTGGCGTGTCCGATCGAACCTGGATGGAGATGCCCCCAAAAGCTGCAGTTGCAGTCTTCCTGTCACGCTACAGAGCCCCAGAGCCTGCCTTCTACTATGAGTACAGCACAGGTCGCTGCAGGGGCCATTTCGCCACGCTCATCACGTCTGCATTCTTTGGGAAGCGCTTCAGCGGCTCGTGGCAACACAGCATAGGTCAGGCGGAGGAATCTGCCTGCGATGTGTTTAAGCACGACCCGCAGGTGAACGAGGCAAGGTTGAAGCTGCCACCAGCAATGGGCAAAATTCGAGACCGAGCTAAACTTAACAATGCTCAGAAGGACCAGCTGCGAGCAGAGGGTTACGATCCTTCAGTTGTCCAGCGGGACATGTGGAAGACGATCTTCAATGGCTTCAGATTGATGGGCTGCAGGACAGCTATGTGGGATGAGAACTGAACACGGACGAGTTTTAGGAGGGACGATCATCCAAGCAGCCGGCATTGAAGCCAAACGTGATGTTCCAGCATTGTTTGCAAGATATGGCAGCTTGCGCGCGCGCGGCTGCATGTAGCTATTGTATGTGCGCGTACGCAATGGGAGGAACCTGCCGAAGAGGTGCAATGTCCGTAGATGCTCAGTAGTCCTGGAACATGGCTAGGAAGACGCTCAGCTGATGTTGAAATGACCGTGCAAGAGTTCCTCGCAAGTGTGCGTTCTCTCTTTACCAGTCCAAGGCGAATCAGATATTTGCTTGGCATTACTGTGACTGTGGGGTGAAGCGGGAACGTTGCAGAGCCACAGCCTGCGCAAGCCTGTGTTCCTATTTCTGAGGTTTGCCGCTTGGGCCAGTCGCAATTGGTTTTGTACCGCAGTTTGTAGTGCAAGTAGCGTCCTCCTCGTCACCAGAAGCTGGCATGTTTACCTATAGCTAAACTGCTTATGTAGCTTCTCTAGTTCCAGTTCCACGGTCTGGGATGGCTTTGTGCTGCAGCTTCTCGGTATTTGCACAACAAGACCGGCTTTTGTGTAGCGATGTATGATGTCCAGTGGGACATACGGAAGGCCATCTTTCATGGCTTCAGACAGATGGACGGGGATATCGATGTATGACTTGGGCGCAAAAAGGCACGAGGTCGTCAAGGGGGGTTGCGGCTGTCGCGCAGTCGCTTTGTCGTGACAGTGGCACTTCATGAGTTTTTTTGCACATCGGTTTTCTTTCGAAGCATCCATGGCTATGAGCGACTTGGGAAGGGCAGAGCGTCCATGGCCAAGGCCTAATGACTGGTGCTTGTGCTGTGTCTGCTAAAGTTGTTCCTAAAGAGGGCGGCTTGATTCCGTTCGTGGTCCACTGCCTTTCGTTTTGCATTGCTGTGCTTCTGGCTTGCCGTGCGCCCGCGTGCGAAGTGTGGCCGCATGCATGTGCCCGAAAACGGTTACTTTCAGCACCTTTGTGCCGAAACCACAGTTCCAGTCACGTGCGTCCCTTAAATTGCACGACCTTTCAGAGCGGCGAGTGGGGTGCATGCCTTGTTGTTGTTGGTTGTTGTTGGCTGGTTGTTGTTTGGTGCTGCTCTGCTGCTGGTTGCAAGATGGGGAGACAAGAGGTCCACACAGGGTCACAGGAGGTAGCTCCAGCCAAAGCACAGATCAAAGCAGGACGACGCTGCGGCGGAGAGCGGGTCCCTGCCAGAATGCGCAAGACGAAGGCGAAGGCCCGTTTCCGTTTCCACTCCACTATCAAAAGGCAATTCGTTTTTGTTTGCACTGCCAGTGGATGTGGCACTGGAAACAGTCCTTCTGCAAGGATGTTTCTGCTGACAGTGGAGGATGCTTCGTCACGACCGGAGGGCTGTCGGTCATCCCAAGCATCCCATGCGAAGAGGATGCATGGCTCAGCACTGCGCAGGATTGCCTTCATGGAAGCTGACCGGTGGGTCCGCGCCCATGCCTTCAAGCTTGCGTTGTGATCCCGAACATTCGGACACGAAGACTTGTGCCCCGAGGGCCTTCAAAGTTACAGCAGGGTGCATCGAGAGCTCAGAGTTTCCGCATCCGGCTGTTGAGCTGTTCCTGATCATGGTCCGACCCGGTACGAGGCAAGTGCACAAGATTGCACAAACAAGCGGTTGGTTAGCATGAGCACTGGTAATGATATCTAGATCTCCGTCATTTTGCAAAGTAATCTGGACAAGCTTCCTTCAAGTGTTGGTAGTTGGGACTTGCTGCAGTCCAAGAAGTCCGGCGTCTTCAGGTCCTGATTGTCTTGACGGACGGGTACCCAGACAGGACATCCGAAAAGAGGCTTGCGTTGGAAGTTGGGAACATCATTTCTCGGCATACCACCCATCCATGCACAATCCAGGCGGCCTCCGCATGAGGTCAACGGAAAGCACAACCAGATGCTGTGCCTTCCGGAGCGCAAACCGAGAGACATCGTCTGACTCTCTCCAAATTGCGAGTCGCACGAGCATAACGAACCTGGACCCTTAGGCCCCAGGCCAGCATCTTGGAGCCCTTAGGACCCGGGTGAACAGCGCTTCCTCCAGGCCGAGGACATCTTGAACAAGGGGGCCTGAAGCTGAAAATGTTGCCGCCAAGTGTTGCGTTCGCTTCGCCCGGGCCTGAAGAATCAAGTCTTGAGAGAAGTAACGTAAGGCTTAGAAGCTGGGGAACTGTGGGACTTTTGCGAGGGCTTGGGCATCATAGAAGCCAGGTGTTTGAAGTAGTTCACACCTCGGAAACACCCGAAAATCAAACAAAGGTCCCCGAACAACGAAGCCTGACCCCACGGTGCTGATTTACAGGCTATCTATACCAACTTATTGAGAACGAGCCCGCAGAATGCAGAGATGTCCAGGAGAAGATGACAAGTGAACGAAGCAAACTCGAGTGCTTTAATTGATGAAAACAGGCTGCATCCACTGCATGCGCAGGTTTTGCGACCAGTTAAGAGCTGCAACATGAGTCTTTTGATCCTGGTGAACCGTGAGCTGTCGGTCATCGGCGACTGCGACGTCAGAAGCTTCGACGATTCGCGTCATGAGAACCTACTCTATGCTGCCGCTAGCCTCCATAAACATGAAGAGGGGCACTGCGTCGTCTCAGGGACAGGCTGGGCACACGGCTGCAACAAGCGGCCCACGTCAGCGCACACACTCTACGGTCCGACCTGTGCCCTTCACGCTTGACCTGCTGAGCGGCGTGTATGGGATGGCTGTCGATGGTGCTCGGCACGAATGTTGTGCAGAGCGCCCGCTGCGTGTCGAGGCAGAAGCCACAGTGATTTTTCGCTTTGTATATATATATATATATATATATACATATGTTTTTGTACTGCACATATAGAATTTATAACTTTATATATATATATACTCATATGCCACATACACACATGTTCTGCATGGGTATCATATTCGGTGCATACCTACCAGGTGTATGTGTGTATGTATGTATGTATGTATGTGTAATATGGGATCCAGGGTGATACACATATAAATAAATATATATATATATATATACATAGAGGTATATGGCTACCACATAGTGTGTGAGTACCATGTGTATATGTGTGTATGTATGTGTACATATTCACATATACACAGTCATTTACATATATCTTATTTACCGTATATAGTATGTAGTATATTGCAGAATAGAGAGCATAGAGTACAGAGGATAGAGTATAGACAATAGAGTATACAACCAATATATATGTGTGTGTATATACATATATATGACACTCCATGTCCGACACGACGTGGATGCATGAGCTCTCAAGGGGGGGGGGTAGATGGCCATGGCCCTTCGCCTAACATGAAGCTGGGCGACACAGGATACCTGAAACTGGTCGATGCCAAACTCGATCCGGAATGGCGGCAGGGAGTGGTCGTCGATCGCGCTACGGATGGAGCGCTTAAGATTGCAGTACGAATCACTGCGGACGAGCGCCATCATTGTGCTGCTTACTTCGGTTTCGATGCCAACAAACGCCACTTCATATTAGTAGCAGGCGGTGCCCGACAACGTGTTTCGGCGTGTCCCGAGTAGAGATGAAGGCTTCAAAGCTCGTAGAACAGGCAAGTTCTTTCCTGGAGAGTTGCCCGGCAGACACCAGCGAAGAGCAGCTGTTTGCCACCGCATCGGAGGACATAAACCTACAGCGACCCGTGCTTCGGTCAGGACGCAGCAGAGGCCTGCTCTCGACTTCGAAGAGGATCGAAGATCGAAGAGGGGGTGGACGACGAGTCTTCAAGTGTAGACTCTGGTTCAGGCGAAGCCCGTGAAAGTGTTGCTTCGGGCTCAAAGGAAGCTTCGCGCTTCTACAGACGGGGGACGAGGACTCGCTGCTTCAACACTGGACAAGGGCACGAAGGGACAACGCCGGTACCCGCTGCTGTCGGCAGGGAGCAGCCGCAAGAAGGACGAGGACCACCAGGACGTGAAGACTGCGTTGCAGCAAGCGGCAAGTTCGACGGCCGCCGGTTCGGGGGACGACCCTCTCAAGACCCTTCTGACTCCCAAAGTGTTGGAAACCCCGAAGCCGAAGAAGAAGAAGTCTCGAAAAGGAACCTTTCAAGCTCCGCTTCAAGTTTGAGCTCAAGTTCGGGAGGTCGAGACAGCCGCTCTGCAAAGGACAAGGGTGCCGCCAAGTCCCTCCGGCAGCACCACGACTCGAAGCGTCGCATGTTCAAGCACCCACTCAAGCATGTTCGACGCTACTTGAAGGAGGTGGAAGAGCAGCTGGGCGGCGGAGACGACATCCCCTATCGCCTGGTAGATTACACATGCAAAATCTACTGGGGGAAGCGGCGAACACTCCAGAGAGTGCATGTCCTGCTGCACGAGATCCTCCGCCTGATGCTGCAGAATCTCTTCGAAGAGGCCGCTCTCCAGACGGTGCTCAGCCCCCGAGCGGTTCACCAGTGCAGCCTCGACAACGAAAAGTGGGACCTCGCTTGGTTGCTCACTCACCTGGAGGACCCGTTTCAGAGGAGACGGTGGGGTGGAGAAACTCTGGAGGTCGAGGTCGTCGCAGCTTACGTCAAGGCGTTGGAGGACTTGGAGAAGAAGACTCGTCAGACACACTTCTTCGACGGAGCGCAGCACGAGGAGGAGGACGAAAGGCCTGCAACGGATCTTCCACCTGTGCACCCCTTTGTGACGAAGCCAGCCTCTCTGTGGTGTCCAGGCCTTCCTGGGTGTGCAACTCCGATCTGTGAAGCGATTTGACAGTTCCCATCCGCGGCGCTGCCGCGGGCTGTTGACGGAGAGGAAGAGTCGGCTGCGGCGAACGGTCCTGTGACGCCATGGCACCGCTTCAATCCCGACGTGTTCCGACCGTTCCAACAGAACCCGGAAACGACCCTACACTCTGCAACTTGATCGAAGCAGGACTTGGATGCAGCAAGATGCGAAACTCAAAGCCATGTCTCTGCAGGACCAGCAAGTTCGCTGATTGCCCACGCTGATTATCCAAAGAAATCAGGTGCATGAAAACCATAAGCCATAAAGAGAACTTCTTGACCTGGCAATACGCCGAGGCCTCAAGCCAGGACGTGAGCCGTGCTTGCCAACGCACATCAAGACATTGTGTTGACACAAGTGCAAAATTGCGCAAGCAAAAATCAAGGCAAAGAAAAGCTCCGAGACGTACGCTGGGGCTGGCCGCTGCTGGCAGCACGCTGCCTGGTCTGACTACACCGAGAACTTACGGGAGTGGGCAAAGTGCTTCGGGAGTTCGACCGTGGTACGAGTGAGTGGCATGTCAAATCATTAGGCCTTCCCTGCAATCTGTGCGAATTCCACCCCGCAGTGGGCACACCGTAGGCCGACAGAATGAATCTGCTCGATACGATGCTTTCAAGAAAACTTCTTGACCTGGCCAGCAGCCGAGGCCTCAAGCTCGGACATGGGCTGCGCTTGCGACCGGTAATCATACCAATATGCTCAGACGGATGCGACGCTGAAATGACCTGACACAGCCATGCGAACAGGCGCGCTGGGCCCTCAACTGTGTTCGATGTCGCCTGTGTCGCATGCACGAAGACGGACGACAGCTCCCGCGTCGGATGACCTGCATCAGAAGCCTGCTCGCTACGCTGCAAGAAGACAGCTACTCTGCCTCACCGTTGGCCAAGGCCTTGGGCCAAGACGCGAGCCGCGCATGCTTCGCCACGGGCACCATGTCACGCGGTGCGCCGCCTCTTGGACCTGGGAAACGCCGACGCAGAAGCCTCTGACTCCAACTCCGACTCTGCATCGCTGATGGTCTCCAAGTCCCTGCAATGCGGTTTGCAAGGGCGCACACCCAAATCCGATTGTTGGACCGAATCAGATTCATGACACAACACAACCTCTGAGCCCTGGGCCCTGGGCCTCCTAGAAGGAGGGCCCCCAGAGCCACGACGGGCTTGTGCCCTGCCGATCACGCCGCTGATGAATGCCAGGTCGGTGACTCCGGAAAAGATGTAAACATCATTAATCACCCGCCACATCACTGCGTCGCTGTACTGGGCAATCTGCAGCAACAACTGGGCCTGAGCTAGATTTAACTCCGAAGCTCAGGCCAAACTCGAGCCCAACGGACTATCTTGTTTGAGCCAACTAGGCAACCTAGTCGAAGCTAAAGTGGCTCCCCGACCTTGTCACCGCCCGCATTGGTGGTTGAATCTGCAATGCTCCAAAATTCTGGCATCCATGGCTGCACGAGGTGTATTCCCACCGAATTGAAATGAATGTTTCGAAATGCCTGGAGCAGGAGCATTACAGTGTTTCGTGAGTTTTGAGGGTTGGCAAGCTGGAATTCGTTTTTGAGCATCACAGTGTGTTTTGAGGTTCAGGACGCGAAACCATATACAAGCGCTCTTGGTAAATACGCAGCATGTATGTAAGCCTTGGTTTAGTCATGTATGTAGCCATTCATTCATACAGATGTGTCCGTGTGTATCTTGGTTGTTCTTACGGATGCTTCCACATGTGTACATGTGTGCATTGCTGCCGATTTTCCCAAAGATGGATAGCTAGGCATATGGGAGTTTCCGAAATTCGGGTTACCGTATTTTGGGGCCTTATGATAAGGATTCTACTATTTAGGGTACTATGTTAGGGCCCCCTATTTTCAGAAACTCCCATATAAAGATATACACACAGATACATATTTGGACATTGAGTGGTAGAGTTCACAGACAGGGTAGAATTACATAGCTATGTCAATGCATTATATGGCTACGTGCCATACTGTATCTTTTGTATGCTCTTATAACAGCATTGGTTCTACCTGTACGTGACGAGTTGTTCATGAGTGTATGCACCGACGGATTGCAATTGCTTTTGGCCACGTTGAATGCATACATTACAAACAATGTTATGCATACGTCGTCAAAAACTCCGCATCTTCAAAAATGTGCAACATTATCAATATCAATGTTCGTCAAAGGCAAGCAGACAGATACATAGATGCCTATATAGGCCTTTTCACACCCTTGTCTTAGGTTTAAAGCCCATGTCATGGCTTTACGCGCATCTGCTGACGTCTGCCTGTATAGAACCGAGTGCATTCCATATCTGTACTCGTAGGGTTTTCATTGAGTTGTGTCTACACCGACAGCATGCACTAGTTTGGGCTGCGTTGGAAATGCTTGCTACCACAACGGAAGACCACGTGCATGAACATAACCAACGAATTTGTCCCATGCTGCCGTTTCGCCACTATAGTTGTTATAGTTGCTGCTTTGGTATTGCAGGCACATGATGAATTAGACGGTACCTGCAGATGTTCCTAAGGCATCTGCTTGTAGCGATATGCCACCCCCCCCTCCGCCCGAATTGGCCCAGAGAAGCTTCTCTCGAGATTCGAATATTCGTTTTGTTCAAAAGCACATGAAGCTGTGGACCAAAAAGTAGCAAGAAAACGAGACCTGCCGTGTTAATTGAGTTTCCGTCTATTTTATCGTTGTAGCATTGCAAAGTTGCTGGTTTTACCTTAGGTCCTAAGGTAAAACCAGCAACTTTGCAATGCTACAGCGATAAAATAGACGGAAACTCAATTAACACGGCAGGTCTCGTTTTCTTGCTACTTTTTGGTCCACAGCTTCATGTGCTTTTGAACAAAACGAATATTCGAATCTCGAGAGAAGCTTCTCTGGGTCAATTCGGGCGGAGGGGGGGGGGGGTGGCATATCGCTACAAGCAGATATGTACGGTGAGAGAGAGAGAGATATGTATATATATATATATATATATACATAGATAGATATGCATATATACATATACACACATACACTGTATATAAAATATATCTTTGCACATACATACCAATGTGTTGTGTTGTGCATGGTCAGAAAGCGTTGGCAGGTAATCCGGGAGTGCCCGGAGCTGGATGAGTGCTGGGCAGCACTCATCCGACTTCCTGCCAGGAGCGCTGCATCCTTACCGTTTGCTTGAAAGCCTTCCTGTAGCTAGAGTGCTACACTAGATACTTAGACTGCGCGATAAATCTCAGGCCTCCAGATAGTTTAAATCGGGTCCCGGCTTTAGGCCGCGAGAGTCATCAAGCATGCTAGGCTGCTAGAGTCGTTGTAGACGTTGGCAACAGGGCCGCGGGCATTTAGAGTATTGAGACTATGTAATGTAATGTATTTGGGCGCTGCTTTTCTGATGTCCTGGACATTCGTTGCTTGAGAAGGGCGGGCCCAACGTTCATCGCCGGTCGCCTTGGTGACCCTGACTCGGCAGATGAGGAGGCCTGGGAGCCGTGGATGCCTGCGTCCCTATCCACTTTCCCCCCTCCCGTCCGCCCTGCACTTCACTTTGCTTTGCGCGCTTGTGCGCTTGTGTACTAGTAGTGCAGCAGCAGCAGGAGGAGGAGTAGTATTAGTGGTGGTAGTAGTAGTAGCAGCAGCACTGCTAGTGCTAGTGCTAGTGCTAGTGCTAGTGCTAGTGCTAGTGCTAGTGCTAGTGCTAGTGCTAGTGCTAGTGCTAGTGCTAGTGCCGCTGCTGCTACTGGTGCTGCTACTGCTACCACCACGACGACGACTACTGCTGTTAATACAGCAACTACTGCTACTAATGCTGCTGCTACTTTTGTTTACAACTACTATTACAACAACTACTACGACTGGTCATGGTATTTAGCGCTGTTGCAGGTTACGGAGGTCCAATGGTTGACGGAAGTTGCAGTGAGTGTCCGAACCTGAGTCGCCACATGCCGAAAATCGCTCCGCATTTGCATATTGAGGTCTTCCTTCAGGCTCTTGGTGAAAGCAAGCAATCTGGCGTAGTGCCAATACGAGCCGACGGCTTTTGCGGCCTGAGGCCTCATTGTCACTGTTTTTTTTGACATCGCTGCGGCAACCATGTGCGATTCTACCAGGTGCCTCGCATATCTCCTTGGCATGGATTTCCACAAGTCATGTCGCGCAGCATCGCCCTCGTACTCGGTAAACTCTAAACCAGTCCCGTGGGCTTCTGGATCATCTAAGGTCCGAGACAGGCTGGCTGAGTCCCAACAAGTACATGCTGGGGGCCTAAGCACAGTTGATGGGATTCTTCTGACTGCCGTCTGTGCTAATCCTGTTCGCAGACCAGGGCAGGCTGTGGCACATCGCAGATTTGGCTGGTGAAGGTGCGGAGCCTGAGCAGTTTGTGGCTGATTATTTGGATCTGACAACCAAACAAAGTAGAATACGACATCATCTACTACAGGACAACAGATTGCATTAGCTTTAGATACAACATTTTGTCATAAAAAGCATGCTTCAACATAATTGACATTGTAAGACACTATGACGTGAGTGTGTCGCTTCCGTGTGTCAGGACTTGTGAAGGGAGGGGAGGCACCGAAACATACACTGGAAACTTACTTGCCCTGCCCACACATGCTAAAACCAAATGACCGGTGGACTTGCAATCTAAGCACAAGTTCTTTGCCTACTATGAGATTTCCGAGACATACCCCACCCATACCTGGATCCGCCTAAGTTGACCTGTAGGCCAACTTTGGAATCATTATCGATACCACCTTATTTACACTACCATTGATACTACCGCTACGGCTAGTATTGCCGCTGCCACCGCCACTTCCACCACAACCACCGCCACCACCCGCCCTACCACCCCCACCAACCCCACCACCCTCTCTACACCGCCCCCATCACGGCCGCGGCCGCCACCACCACCACCACCACCACCACCACCACCACCACCACCACCACCACCGCTGCACGTACTCTTGCGATGTTACTGCAGCTACGACTGCTGCGACAATGACTTCTTCCATCTACTGCTGCTGCTACCTACTCCCACCACCACCACCACCACCACCACCACTAATTACTGCTACTCCCACTGCTCCTAATCTTACTCCTACTGCTTCTAGGCTCCCTATCTGCGACAGCTGCAGAAGATGCAGGGGTCAGGCTCCTTATCTGTCACAGCTGCAGAAGCTGCAGAGGCATACTTTCCTTAACTGTCACAGCCGGTGACGTTACAGAGGCTCAGGCCCCAAAACTCGACAGCAGCTGGAGTAGAAGCAGCTAAACCACAGGTGGTCGGACAAAACGAAAACGCTGCAAATACCGTGCGAAACGCAGGTGCTGCCAAGAAGGCTTTAACATTCCTAAAACCTGAATCGCAACATGTGAAAACGTGCTCAGTTGCCAGCGTGTACGAAGCCTGGTAGTCAAACTTAGCTGCCGTTGCACAGTCCTAGCCGTAGGAAGCCAGCAGTGTTGACTGCAAGTGACTGACTGCAGGGGCCCCTTTTTCGCAGCAATGGCAGCTGGAGGGGGATTTCGTTACAACCCCAAGCACGATTCTGAACCCGAGCTTACTAAAGCTGGATTCCTGGTCTATAGTCGTTCCGTGCAGGAGTGTTATGAGTGGGAATTCCGCACGATGGGTCAGCTCCACGAGACGAAATGATATGTGAAGAAAGGTTTTCGCTCGGCTCAAAGCTTCTAGAGTCACTCAGAGGCGATGCCTACATAGTTGCCCAAGACTTGGGGCATGCTGTGTTGAAGAAAGAAAACGCTATCGAGGAGATAATCGAAGCGGTGAAAAAGCAGATCTTTCCTTTGCAGGCTCAGGAAGCCAGGGAACTCTACAGAGTTGGCTTCAGCGTAGGCGGAGTCATCTCGCGCCAAAGGTGGTATCGCAAGCCCAAGGAGCTTGATGCTTCTTTGGAGATTCGGATACCATCCGAGCTTATGTACTTTTAGACAACTGTGGATTAGATCGCAAAGAGCGACTAATGATCCTAGCCGATGGGTAAACATGCCCACGGTTACAGTCCGAGGCCCAGCGGTCTATCGATAGAAGACCGAAGGAAGAAGCTCAAAGAGGTGAAAGGCCGTAGCACCTGTAAAGTGTGCGGCAAGAAAGGACACTGGGCCGGAGACAGAGAATGCCAAGGCAAAGCGACTGGAGCATCCAGCGTTGCCAAAGCTGCGCATCTCTCCGCGACCGCGATCTCTGCAAGAGACGCAGCTGTCCAGACCGACTTCTTTCACGCTGGCTAAAGCTTTGACTCGGGGGAAGAGTCACTGCACGAAGCCTTTGTGGTTATGGATGATGATCCAAGCCATCCTGAGGCTTACCCAGGGTTCTTGAGCCCGGGAGACTTCGCGGACGAAGACGAAAGCGAAGAACTCGTCGAGGACAACTCTTTTGAGTTCCTCGAGCCTCCTCCTGAGGGATCGGACACCGTCTTCGGGTTCGGACTTCACAAAGGAAGAACTTTCGGGGAGGTGGTACAGGACTATCCTGGGCATTAAGGAGACTTCCACAAGTCCAATGCTCAGGGAGTTTTTCAATGTTTTGCAACAAGCACTACGTCTTCCCGCAAGGTACAGCGCAGAGAAGAGACTTTTTCTCTCTCGCAGAAAGAAGCTGAAGACTTCGCTCCGGTGAGGGAATGGATTATGGCTCAGAAGAGTACCAAGTCCAGGAGTAAGCTTTCCAACCTAAGGCCGAGTTCAGATGGACCGCGCCCAGCCCGGCTCATGCTATTAGCAGAGCGGGATCGAACGAATTCGGGCACCGATTGTCTACTCCGCGGCCCAAAGAAAAGCCCAAGAATCGACGAGGGCAGTCCACAAGGTTTGGTGTTTGGATTGTTGTACTTTTGGTAGTGAGCTACCACAACAACTCCACAAACTGCAACGAGACCTTGCCCAAGCGACCCAAACAGCACCTCTGAAAGCCCAGGACCTCACGCGAAGGGTTTGGAGGACGTTCCGTTGACTCAGCTTGAGGCGGGTCAGGTTATCAGGCACTATGTTAAGACAATGAACAGGCATCTGACTGTTGTTGAGCAGACTAGTTCTCAAGAGTTGTTGCGTTTGTTGTCGGATAGTGTAGATGCTGTAGCTAACCAACTAGCAAGCTTAGCAAGTGCTTCTGCTTCTGCTGCTGCCCCTAGCTCAAGCTTAAGGCCTCAAGCCCAAGCTCCTGCAAGGCCGAGCCGTCGCCCCTCTGCCCCTTTCCCGAGCCATGGGTGGCTCACGCGAGAAGGGGATTCCTACAGGGTGCCCACCGCACGCCTTTATGGCGGTGGTGGGGACAAGGAGAGAACGGAGGTAGAGAAAGGCCAGGTGACCGTGGACGCACCAAAGCTCATCGGCGAGCCGAGGGTGGACGACCTGGAGCAGGTGGACCCCTTCGGCCACGATGGCATCTTCGCGATGCTGGACGAAGGATGCAATTCCTCGTGCCATTCCCGCACTTGGAGAATCAACGCGGAATTGAAACTAAAACGTGGACCGCGACTGGCCATGAAAGACACGCCATGCACGGCGGGCACTTACCGAGGAACTGGAGGTGCAGAGACCACGTCCCGGAAGATCGTTCCAATCTGTCTCAAGTCGGAACCGTGTGGGCTGACCGCTAGCGGCAGCGTTGCCACCAACGAGATAGATGGGCAAGACTTCCCACTACTCTTGAGTTTGCAGGTACAGCAGAAGCTTGGCCTGAAGAAGGACACAAGACGGGGGATAGTAGAGTTGAGTGACTATACCCCGGGCAGTACCTTCGGTTGTATCAGTGGGTAAGATCACGTGTGTGTCTGCAGGTCTTCTCACCTTGGATGAGGGAGAAGAATCCTGCAGGGTCAGCTTAGCGCTCAAGCAGACCATCCAGGATGTGGGTATCCACAACTGGACGAGCGCGAACCCTGCCAACTTGCAGATGATAAGGCAGTCACTGCGAAAGAACTACCCTCACGTATGTGAGGGCGTTACCGACGACAATAACCTTATTTGCATCGATGCCAGAACACTCCCGAATCCTTGAGACAAGCGTGACCTCAGGGGACACCGAGGCACGTACCCACAGAACCTTGGGTTCACTCTAGGACCCTAGGAACCCAGGAGTGGAAGAACCTGTGGGAAAGACTGACTAGCAAGAACAGTCCACAAGGCACTCCGATCCGCAAAGGACGGAGAGAAACTTGTGTTCCTCACCTCTTGTAAGGGAGGAAAGCATCGGGGCTACATGATGTCCTCAAAAGGGTCCTCAAGGAGTTTGTACGACCTCGCCTGCGAAGTCGTGGACTGCTCGCGCACAGTTAACTGCAATGAGTGTTGTGGCACCACCAAGGAAGCACAGTCCTTTAGGGACTGGGCCAAGGCCACAGCCTGCGCCGTGTGGCGTGAGGCAGTCTAGGAGTCCGAGAGGAAGACGCGAGGCAGGAGTCCAAACCCTGCGAAGAAGCGAGAGCAGACGTGGGAGCCGAAAGGGAGTGTTAGCCGTTAGCCTTTCCCCGGCCCCTAACGCGGCTCGCGGTTCTGGCGACGGTTTGGTAGACCGCATCAAGGCCGAAAAGGCCAATCGAGAGGGTAAAGCCTCGAAAGGAACAGGAGGACGTGCCTCTTCTCGCAAGAAGAAGGAGAAGGAGAAGAAGGAGGAACCCACATCATCGACCCGAGACGTGAGGATGCAGGACGACGGCGAGGAGAAGGACAACGACTACCTCGACGACTACCGTTTCGTCGTCGAAGACCTTAGCCTCGACGATGGCTATGATCTGTCGGACATAGTCAACTGGGACGTGCCGGAGCTGGAGAAGATCACCTGCGTTTTCCTCCACCGCCTTTGTGCAGTTTTCCGACCGACCGAGACTTCGACGGTAGACGGCATCATGAAGAAATACAGCGACGAGTTGATCGCGCTGATGGGCTGCGTAGCCAAGAAGTATGTCGATGGCACGCAAGCGGCGAACATGCTTAAGGCAGTTCTGAATCTCAAGACTGTGGACCCAGAGAGCTTCGGAAAGGAGTATCTCGAGCCTTTCATGGAGGAGCTGGACACAGCCGATCCTGAGCTGCCCAAGTTCGGAAAGGTTAAGCGAGGCACCGAAGCTGCAGACGGACCTCCAAGAGGCCGTAAGGCAGACAGAGAGCAGCCCAACGAGCCGCAGCGCTCGAGAAGCGGAAGACAGCAGAGGAGCGTTACGCCCTCTAGAAGAACGGCGAGGAGCTCTACTCCCGCCCGGGCCTGAGACCCAGAAAAAGAGGAGACAAGGCGTTGAAGCAATCAAACGCTGATGGGCACCTGTTGGGAGGCCAAAAAGACGTGAGCTGCAGTGAGAATCTGAGCTTTACCGTGACGCCTTTAGCCTTGCAAAGACCGCTGTACCGAGGGGAATGGCGAGGGAGTGATGCTGTTTGGGAGTTTGACGTTGATGCTGGGTTATGGGAGTGCGGAGTGCTGCAGTTGCCTTTCAGCCCCTCCCCACTGAAGTTAGGCACCCGTACACCTCTGACCAAAACGGCCACAATCCATGAACACATGCGGGGAAGCAGGCTCTTAGCTAGGAAGCCTTCTCATTCCTTGGCCCAAATGGCCAAACGTTTCCAAGTCCTTTCGCAGAGCCGACACATGTGCCATCTGAAGAGGGGACACGACATTAAATTGGGGGGAGTCGCTTTCAGTTGGGGACTTTTATTACAGTGCGGCAGGGGATGTCCTGGGTTAAAGCGCAGGGTGCATGTTTTTGTGTTGCGACCTCCCCGGCTGCTTTCACTTCGGTGCTGCCGGGCGCCAAGCTCGAGACAGGAAGCCTGACACTGGCATGAGGGGGGTGGTAGCCTTAACCGTCGAGGCGGGTTGGGGGTCCTGGTGTAGCGGCTTGCGGTGGGAAACCCAGTGAGTCGGGTCACAAGAAGCCTCGGTCTTTCGTTTGCGCCTCTTCTCCCCCAGTGCGCGAAATCGCGCCAGCCAGACGTTTTCTGGCTAGAGTACCTGTTTATGGGACTCATGATGGAGGACGTAAAATAGGGAAGCGCCTCAAGACTAGTGCTACTCGTAAAGGGTTTTAACAGAACTAGATTCTCAAAGCACTGTATGCGTAGCACAACAGTGAGGGACGTCTTATGGCCCGACAATGCACGCATGTGGACGACCTTTAATGGGCGGCCGAGCCAGAGGCAGAACCTATCATTGAGCAGTTGCTCAGTGAGTTTCCTGCGGAAAGATCGAACGACGTGAGTTCAGATACCGCGGGAAAGAAATCAAGGAGGTGGATGATTTCTCTATCACCGTTACATGCAGGGAGACAACTTTGAAGGTGAAGCGCATCTTCATTGCACCCAAGCGTAAAGCTGGGGAACCTCGTACTGACAAAGACTCAGCTTAAGAGTGTTGCAGGAATTCTTTACTGGGTCACACGACACTGTAGACCGAACCTTGCATATCGGGTGAGTCGAATGCAATCCGCCAGCAATGGGGGTACAGTTGCTGACCTCCGAGAAGCAAACAAAGCCGTCGACTTTGCCGCGACGCAGCAGAGAGGGTTAGTCTACAGGTCTGGTGTTTTAGACTGGGACAACCTCATCTCCTGTGTTATCACGGATGCAAGTCACGCTAATGAGCAGGAAGTGATGACGGTAGGCAAGGAAGACTCCTTGGAGCTTCATAGGATCCAAGGCGCAAGGCTTTATTGCCTGGGCACGCCTAGCTTAATGTCATCAGATGAAGGTCACGTTCACCTCATCAGTTTTGCCTCAAAGAAAGTCCGAAGAGTTTGTAGGTCTACGTTGCAAGGTGAAGCCTACACCCTTCAGGCAGGAGTCGAGGAAGGAGACCGACTCAGAGCAGCTGTAGCGGATCTATTCGACAACTTAGACCGCAAAAAATGGGAGGCTTGCTCCGCAGCCTTCATGAGGCAAGTTTGGTTTACGGACGGCCGCTCCTTGAGCGATACGCTCCGAAACAGCATGAGGACAAGCGACTCAGCATGAGATCGCGTCCCTGCGAGAATCCCTATGTAGATCCAAGCGTGAAGATTGCGGCGATCCATAGTACTTGGACGACCGTCCCGCTGAGCCCACGGACGAAGTCCGATGGATAGATACAGATGTTATGGTTGCAGATCCATTGACAAAGGTCATGGAAAGCACCAAGTTGGTAGAATGTCTCACCACAAATAAACTGAACATAGAGCAACCAATTGATTCTGTTGTCAAGACAAGAGCGCAGCAGCTTCACAGAAGGAAGATTGGGATGGATTAAATCCACTCTTGATGGGTTCCATGTCACAACCGGCTTCTACGCCAAAACCGGGTGTGAAAGTGTGCTCAGTTTTCAACGTGTTCGAAGCCTGGTAGTCAAACTTAGCTGCCTTCCACAACAGTGGATCCTGCTGATCTTAACTGCTAGGCGGAAAAGCGCTCAAAAAGAAAGACCTAGCTGCTGTTGCACAGTCCTAGCCGTAGGAAGCCAACAGTGTTGACTGCGAGTGACTGACTGCAGGGGCCCAGGCTCAAACGGGAAAACGACCTGTTCTCATACAACACTGTATGAATGTCAACAACAAAAATGCCAGCTGTACGTGGGAGGGGCTCGCGAATGCACCTGAACCCCAGACCTCGGCACAAAAGGCTGTGTTTTTGAAGTATGCGGAAAGCTGGAAAGTCCTCCATGACCTTGGGAGGGAAAATGGCCTGCGAGCTTGGTTTGTACTGTCGCGGCGGTTCTCAGTCTGACACGGACAGCTTGAGGGATGGAGCTGGTTTGAACATCGACAGCACTGGGGGCAGAGACAAGACTTGGCGGCCTGTGATTGCCTGGTGTGACTTAGTAGTGGCAAGAGGAAGAGGAAGTGTTGGCCTGAAAGTTGAATCGGGTCATTGAGGTGATGCGCCACGATGTGCGCCTGGATGTGGTCACTTCCCTTAAACCTCGCCTGACTTGGTCGAGTGCGAGTGCTGAAAATAAACATGGTAGAACGTAAACTGACGTGGCCTAATATAAGATGATGATGCAGTATTGATTTTATAATGTAGTGCCGATGGTGCCTACAATGGTGATGGTCGTCATGAAAACGGTATGATATGATACGATAGGAAAAGACATTGCACTATGAACCACAAATTAACAAGTTGCTATGGCAAAACATTAATTACAAAATGCTGTGTTCGACTAGAGTATGCTGTCAGATGATGTGCCATTGTAGCCATTAAAATCCACTCGATTATAACGAATAATAGATGCTTGGGCATCGGAGATACAAGCACAGGCTGGCCACCTGAGATGGTCTCACAGGGGCTGCGAGAGCGGAATGTCAAGGACAGACTTTTGTTACTGTTCCATGGCTTCTTCTTGCTGTTGTGAGATACAACATGTCATGATTAAATGAGCAGCAGCAGCAACAGCAACTGTGCCAGCAACAGTTATGATGCTAGACGGGTGTTGGTGGTGGTTATCTTAGTTGCTGTTGTGATTATTGCGATTTGTTTTTTGCTGCAGCAACAAGTTCACAGGAAGGCATTGGCACATCCTGATGCCAAGCTGCTTCTGCAAAGTCTCCTCACAAACTTTTTCTTCTGCAATCGCGCAATGGCCGGATCACCGACGATTTCTGCCGGTTTCTGTTTCAGCATACTTGTTGTCCCTTCTTCGTCCATGTTCATGCACCGATTGAAGTGTTATTGACTGTAGGTCAGGTGAGCAGAAGGAACTAGAAGCGTTATTGTAGTGCTCACATAGGTGTCTGTATCGGTCCCAAGCAGCGCATTCACAATGGCATCCGCAGGATCATGATATCTTCCTGACCCAGAAGGAGCTATCGGATTTGTGTTGCTTGATGTTGGGGCGGTCCATTCCGATCATCGAGCTCAGCGCCGACTTTCATGCTTCATGGGCCACGGGAGTCGTGGCCTCAGCTTGAGCCTGCCGTAGCATTGTGCTTCAACCAGTCCATGCTAAGGACCATAGCATGTTGGCTGTGGCAGCTGGGATGTCCGCGACAGAGGCATCAACACACGATGTACTTTTCCGGCCCTAGGTTTCTCTGTCTCCTGCGTGTCGATTTAGTGTTTAATCCATGTAAAGTGTGTGTGACAGGATCGGTCCATCACTCTTGGGCTGCCATTTTGTCAGGAAGATATCCACAAGATGGGGCAAGAGCTGCACGAGCGCAGCACTCATGATCCAATTTCCTGGGGCTATTGTTGCAAGCAGCAGTGCAAGTGTGTCAGGCAAGGGTTTCGACTGCTTGTGGCCGCAGATACCTGAGCATTGAGGGAGTTGCTTGAAGTGCAGTCTGTAAGCCTTCGACCAAGGGATGATCTCAGTCACGCTCGGCTCAGGAACCTTCGCAGGCACAGTGTCGTCCAAGTTTCCATCAGCTTCAACAGATGAGGCCAACCATCCTTCACTCAGGCAGGTTGTGCGTTTTGTTTTTGTTGCATGTGTGTTAGATGGACGAATTAATGCACTTGCTCGTTCGGCAATCTTGTTGAAAGCGATGACTGTGGCTGGTCGCATTTTTCCACGGGGACCGGAGAGGTAGTAAAATTATTGACCCACCCCACTTGTCCCACTTGCAGGTTTTAGGCTGTTGTGCGTTTTAGCTTTGGGTGTCTGAAAGCCCGCACTCATACAGTAGGGGCAGCATGCAGATCGGGAAAGATGGCGGCAAGTGGGGTGAGTGGGGAGTCCATGACGGGCAAGTTTGGGCCAGAGGCGCCAGACACGTTTAGTCAAGCCGCCGAGGCAAGCTTGCACCCAAATAATTACGTGCGATCCTGTGAGGCGAGTTTGGATTGCCAAGTCGCAAGTAGGGAAATTGTCACATTGTGATCGCCGTCGTCGCGCCCATCACCGCGACACATCCCTGTGATCTTCTTTGCACATATTCGCTGTTGTCCTCAGCTTCGCCATCGTCGACATACATGTACGAGTATTTGCCACATGAGATCAAAAGTCCCTGCGAGGGATCCATTTTTTCATCCTTGCCAGGCACTCATTGCATGTACTGCAGCTCAGCCCTGTGTGACACGGGCGACCGAGAATGCTGTCGCCCAGGACGCTTCCAAAGAGTCTGAGCCTGCCATTGGTCATGATCATCTTCTGGAGGCGCAGGGAGGCTATAAGGTTTACCGTGTTTCACGGTGTGAAGTAGCCGCTGAGATAGACATCGGTGGATGGTTCGCCTTCGCAATATTTGAGCTGCGCTTCTTGTGAAACCTGGTGTCACAGGGTTTGACAATGAACAGGTCGAGCAGAAGCTGCAAGATGAGCTTGCCTCATTGCAGGCGGCCTGATTATTGATACGACCAGATGTATGGCAGTGCGGTTTGTTGTCGTGGTGGCGACCACGGTGTCAAATGAGGCATACGCTCTTCCAAGATATGCCCCAAGATGCCAGTAGATGAGTGTTCATCTTGTCAGCCTCTTGACAGGGGAGGAGCAAATGCCAGGCTCGGGAGATCTCGGGAGTTGTAGCGACTTGATTTGCCGCAGGGCTGTATGGGGGTCTTGCGTGGCCTGTTGAGTTTAGTTTGTCTGATTTTGAAGAGCCCGGCTTCGCTGCTCCAGGCTCCAAGTGCGAGGTGGTGCCGGTGGTGGTGGTGGTGGTCGTGGTTGATTGGTAGTGGTAGCGGTGGTCGTCCTGGTAGGGGCCGCAGTAGTAGAGTAGTGGCAGTGGTACAAGTAGTGGACAGGTTTGTTTTATGCAAGGAAGCTGGTTGCTGATCCAACAAAGTAGTCAGACGGGCGGTCGTTTCCAGAAGGTCTTGCTGCAGGATTCCTGGAAAGCCTTGCAGTGACGGAAGAGAGACGTGGGCGCAGTAGTAGCGGTTACCTTCTCGTGGACATTGGACGGTGCGGGAGACAGCTCAATTTGCTGCACCAGCAGCTAGAGTCTAGAGCCTAGAGCATGTAGCCGTGGCTGGTGGTTTAGAGGGTGATGCTGCGATCAAGTATGTTCGTGCTTTGGAGAAATTTGGCAAGCGCAAAGCGCTGCAGGTTCTAGCAAGCCGGTCTCAGAAAAGGAATGCTGTGGCAGGGGGCAAGGTGACTGGCAGCTGGTCCCGGCAACCCCACGATGCCGCTAACAACGAATTTGTGTCTTTGTGAATTGTGGCGCATGCTGGGCCAGATCCGTTCGCGATACTCAGGAGTCCCTGCGGCAGTCTCGACGTTAAGAACCACTGGAAATTCATTATCAATGATTGACTTGGGTGGCATCATTGAAGAACTGATGCGCGGAGTCAGAGTCGTACTTAACTTAATGGCACAATTACGCAAGCGGTCGGAACATAACTCCTTCGCTTGAGCTGGCAGGTCAAAGACAGCAAGACTGTTGCAGCTGGGCCAGGCACCGCTCCTTTGCTACGGCTAAAATAATGGCTACTGCGACGACGGCTGCGACTACTGCTGCTGCTGATGCTGCTACTACTACGTACTAGTTGTGCTGAGGAAGCCTGTATATATGTAGCGCTTACCAACTCGCTGCTTGCACAGATGCGTACAGCATGTATGGCAGCCGATTGTCCACAAGGTTTGTGTTAATGCTTTATACATAGACTGTGTACTTAAGTATCTAAACAATATTATACAGTATCTGCAGTATACACACAACAGCTCATGTGATGTATGTCGCATCTACACGCACAGCATCTATCCTACATAGAACCTGGTTAGCCAACGTCTAGTACGTTGTGCATTCCCAACCCTTCCATGGTCACCGGTCACCCCCTAAACAGCCCACGCCAGCAGCCGATTTGCACGCCAACCTACGCGCCTGCACATGCGGTACAATTTCCCTACACACGTATACGCTGCATTTCATCTCAAACACGAACATCCATGATGTCTACTGCGCGTACAGCAGAGGATTCACAAGTCTGCAGATCCAGATGTGCTGCTAAGACATACATACGGTAAGTAAGAGCACGGCGTCGAGTTTCACCATCATGCAGGTCGCAAGAACGAAGCAGTTCGTGACCATCGAGCCCCTTGCCGGCAAAACAGCCAGAAGCTGAAGCTGAGACTGTTGCTTCTGCTTCTGCTGGCAGTGGCAGCGGCAGCTTTAGCGGCAGTGGCAGCAGCAGTAGCAGAAGCAGTCCTTGTCGTTGCAGTAGTAGTAGTAGCAGCAGCAGCAGCAGTGGTCGTTGTCGTCCATCGCCTTTTTCAGGATCGACCCGGACAACAGTCAGTTGGAGAACATTCGGCAGATGTGCCTGGGCTGACCATATCACAGCCTCTTAAACTTGTGTATTTCGTGTCTTTATTTTGTGCAGGTATCTTGGACATCGGATATAGCTGTTGGGTTTAGCTGTTTCTAGACAATTCTAGACATGCAAACGGGTCACCTGTTTGTGTAGGTATGCAGTAGAAAGAACTGAACTCTGAAGTTAGGCCTTGAATCCTCCGGCTTGCAGGTGTTAGATGCCGCTTCACCATCTCGAAGACGTGGTCTTTGACAGAGAATTCATGTCCGCAGGCAGGCGTCTTTCATACTCCCCCTGATGCCACCGGCTCAGTGTCTCAGCGTAGCTTCCGCCTGCTGCTGGTGCCGAATCTTGTGAAGCTTCACCGGTGCCGAGCGCCTGCTTTGCATGACAAGTGTGAAGGAGACCAGGCCGCATAATGATGTCGGGATTTTGCATGAAAGCAGACTCACTGCATATGTGCTCGTTGACTTGTTATATTTCCTGAAGCTGGCTTCTTCTGACTTTTCTGTGCATAACGCGGCTCTCAGACAGGGGAGTCCATGCGAGTATGCCAGGGATGTTGGGGTGTGGGAAAAAAGCTGCTTGAGCGCATTGGCATTGGAGCTGTGATGACAGATGACAGTTCATCTGACGGTGCAAGTTCAAGTTTGGACGAATCGGACTGCCATGCCTGCGAGCTTTGCAAACAGAAGCCGCAGAAGTAGCAAAAGCAGTGGGAAGTAGAGCGGCGGTATGGAGATCCACGCGTTCGCGAACACTTACATTGTTTGGGTGTCGTGGCGGCATTGGTTTTGTGGGCCCCTGACCAATGTTTTTGGTTTTGGTTGGGTTTTACGTGTTCGCTTGCTTGTGTCGTTGCGGTGCTAGCCTTGCCTGAGACCGTGAAACCCCTCCGTGAAACAGCGGGGGCCTCAGACTTGGCTGCGCAAACTTGCGATGCTGGAGATCTGCTAATGTCTATTTCCAAGTTCCAAGTTCCAAGTTGCAGGAGATGGAGAACCAGCTTCAGCGGATCCAGAAGCTCAAGGACAGTACACTGAGTACACATGTCGTGGTTTGCCTCGACGGCACGTGCACCAACTCCCATTCGCCTAGTCGCCTCTACCCACGAGGCCCAAGAGGTTAGGCCTGCCCCACCTTGCAGGAGAGGAAATTCGGAGTGCCCAGCCATCCCCCGTTGATGACACCAGGGGTCGCCTCCATACAACGGTCGCACTACGCTTGCTGTGGCATAGCCAAGCGAGCAAGAATGCATGACGCGGCTTCGTGGCTTGCCTGGAACTTGATCCGTATCATGCTGTGGCATAGCCAAGCGTGAAAGGGAGGCACGTCCTAAACTTCCGGTCGCTCTACGCAAACCTGCCGTTGGGGCACGGGCTGGCCCCGCAAACCTGTGATCACGCAGCACCCGCATCACAGGGGAAAAACATCGCACAGCAGGACTTTGCGGAGCTTTGGCAATCGAGATGCCCAGGGGCTTGAGCAAGGGAGTCGCTGGCAGCATCATGCATGTGCATTGTAGACGGAGGCAGGCAGTGAGTGAGGGGGTGAGCTTGTGAGCGACTGCGTGAGTGAGCCTGCGCTATAAAGAGCTAGCATGCGTTAGTGAACGCGCATGCGGCGAGTGCGGGAGAGCAAGAGCCGCCAACCCACCGAACGTTTACCCACTTCCCGCATTGATAAGCACACTTTCTTTCCAGGTAGCAACTTCAGCAGGGTTCATACATTTCTTCTGGGCAAGGGGGATATAGACTACCATGATCTACCATAGCTACTGAGTTCTGGAGATGTTGCGAAGGTTTAACGCCCTTTCTTAACAGAACATATTCATGACGAAAGTATTGAGAAAGAAAAGGGGCAGGCACCAACGGAAGAAATCGAAGAAGGGCATCAGAACTAGATGCAGAACTACATCCATCAACGCCTACAGAATACTGAAACAAAACAAACAGGAACAGCAGAGAACATGGCAAGGTTCCAAGCCAGTGCGATCTCTATGCGAATATGCATGTCTTCAAAAACAGTCAAAAGAATGTACCAAGCTGAGAGGTGGTACGATTTGGAAAAGGCCTTCTGAGCCTTGAACAGCTGAAGCGCACCTGCCTCTCAAGCTGAGGACCGCATGACTCACGATCGCTATAATTACAGCTGCAAATCCAGCGCCGGGTACTTCACAAGGGCTTCCGCCTTCACATCATCCATACTCTCGATGCTGTTTATCACGTGCTGGGCACTGGGCATGGTGCCCTTCGGTACTCAAGGTAATTCATACAGTTGTGGCTTTGAAGTTTTCAGTTGCTTTTTCCATCTACGCTAACACTATGGGGTTATCGTGTTCATTGTAATTAAGGAGAACTGATTGAAGTAGCCGTGCGGCGCGTGCCAAGACTTGGCTCCCTGCATCCTATTCTGTACTGTAAATGCTGCAACTATGGCCCCGCGTCTTTTCATTTACACTGGATGCTCACGGCGCACGTTTCCCGCTGTCGTGCGGTGCATTCCTTGTCGCTGATATCCTATTATTGACGGCTTCTGCGTGCTGCATGCGCCATGGGGGCCAAGGTTCATTGCAAATACTACTACATGGACGCTCTTGATAGCATGAAATCGCAGCATTATCGGGGGGGGGGGGGATCCAGCAAATTAAGAGGGGGAACATAAGTCTCGTTCGCCTTATTCTCGAAGGCGCTAGTCTTTCCCGCTCCTTGTTGTCCAGTGCTCTATGTTTCGAGCGTGTTTGTAGAATCCCTTTCGTGCGGTTTGCTCCTTGGTTTCAACTGCTCCAGTCCTCCTGGAGCGGTTTGCGCTGCTTTCTCAGATGCTCCAGTACTCTAGTTAGATATTGGCACTTTTGGGCGGTTTTGCGTGTTTTCTCTCAGGCACGGCTCAGTAAACCGAGAATTTTCACCCCACCCAAGCCGTCATGTAAATTGCCCTGGTGGCTGTCATGCATGCTTGCCTGACGACTTGTCAGCCATCTGTGTGCCTCAATCGCACCATGTCGCCCTAAACCGTGAACCCGAAACATGATATCGTGCTAGAGTTGCGATCATTCCGCCTCATTTCAGGCCGGCGTGCTAGAAATCAGACGAACCATAGCATTGACAGATATCAGATGATTGCGAATGCTGCAAGTGATGACAAGAGCCCTACTTCTGGTGTAAATATGACACTATCTGGCATGAGCATGGTAGCGGATATTGATGTTGGAGCCATAGGCTCACGTGTTTACAGATTCGTTGGTATTGCAAACCCCGGCTTCAAGTTTGGACACAGTCAAGAAGCAACATCTGAGGTAAATAGCAGTATTCCATGTTGTAATCCAAGTATTGGCAGTTGAAGCCTGTTTATGGCTTTATTATAGTTTAAACACGTGATCTTGGATTTCAGCAATTGAACATAATTTACTACAATTTGAAGATGTTGTCTTGGAGCCGCTCCCATTGTCGGACAGTTGTTCATAACCAGTTGGTTACAGCTGTTTAAGACGCAGAAGCGCAGGACGTACTGAATGCAGCGTCGAGACTGCTTCAACGAGCAGATGCAGCCATAGTATACATCGTATATTGAATCAGCGACACATAAATTGAGCTTGTCCGTTGCATTGCAGACTGCCAGAACCCATCGACTCGAGCAGTTATTGCTAGTCGGACCTTCGCCAGCAGTGGCAAAGGTGACAGTGTCGGTGAAGTATGTAGATACTTAATACCAACTTTTTGATGGGATGCGGTGATGTATAAGGTGGAAAATATGTAACATGTGGGTGAGATAGCATGAACATGATGGTAATGTACTTTGTTCGCGGCTTCTGATTTTACCTCTATGCGACGACGCCACCGACGCCAACATCCTGAGATACTGCGACGAAGCCAAATCGGATTGCAGGAACAGATCGCAGAGCTGAAAGAGGAGCTGGTGGCCAGCTTAGTTAGACAAGAGCTTCAGGAAGTTGCTAGTGTGAAGTGCGACGTAGACAGTTTCCTCACGCTTGAAGCCTTGAGCATAGAATACATGTAAGTGTATACATACATACCGTATAGGTAGATATATTATTACCTGCAGAAGGATGAGCATCGATTGTCGTTGTTACGCTGGCTCAATCATGGCTTGGGTCAGTGGCTGAGAAGCAGACTGGGCGCCTTGAAGTTAGCCCTTCAGCCGACAGCTCGGCTTGTCATATCCACACTCATCCGTTTGCCGTCTGTTGCAGCCGTGATCATGGTAGTCGGCTTCACCCGGAAAGTTTATGTACAGGAAGGGGAGCACGTTGAGGAAGAGCCGCAGCCAGAAGAGGTGCGCCGCCACTCTATTTTAGTGGATGCTGCTGCAGTTTTGCCATGTTGCATTGCCGTTCGGTTAAGCAGGTCCAGACTGAGGAAGAGGCAGCCGTTGGCACGAGCTGTCATGCAAGCGTTACTTGTTTTCCTGCTATTCTAGCGGCGTTTCTTTGGTGCGTCGTGACGGATACTAGTCCGGATCCAATCCGCTTATCCGTCTTCGATTCAGAACACTGTCGGGAATCCAGGCGGGAAGGACGGAACGGCTTGCGGAACAACCAAGACGAGCGTTTTAGGTAAGAGGGCAGGGATCTGGAAGGATTGGCACAATGGATTGCGCGGTTTAGAGAGGCTGTCGCAATGAAAGAAGCAAGGCGTATTGCACTGACAGAGACATCGAAGACGTTTACCTTCGGAGGCTGTCCAGATCAGAAAAGGTGACATGCAGGCAAGCGCACGCTTGGTGGGGGAAGAGGAAAGCGGAAGTCACGGGACGGATGAATGGATGGATTGATATTCGGTGGATGCTAGATTGCAAGAATGTGCGGGAGGAAGGGGGGGAAGGGGGAGTGTGGCATGTTTCCTTGGACTCAGTTGGGGGAGGGTCCAGAAAGGGGGAAACGAGATTGAGGGGTGAAGGCGGGAAGGACGGGGAGGAGGTAGAGGTAGAGGGGCTTGGTATGGAGGCAGAATCTTACTGGAAGATGTTGGTCGAGTCCGAGCTGCCGTGCGGTCATGCATGTTAAGATTCGTGTGATGTTGCGCGCGCCCTAAAAAGGCGAGGGGTGATGGGCTTTTCAGGGCCCTTCAATCCAACTCTACGCAGGACTGGTGGACCTGGCTGCAGGCACGGCCAGCCTCGACAGTTCGTGCATCAGTTGCAAATGGACTCATGGACCTTCTTCAGGCACAAATCTGTCTCTTCGGCTGCGCTGGCCGGAGGCAACGCGACAGCGGGAAACCATTCTGCGCTAGAATCTCTGCGTGCCCAATTCCACACATCCAGTAGCAGTAGAAGCCCAAGCTCCGAGCTCCAAGCAAAACTCTGCAACCCTATGCGCTGGCCCGTTCCCCACCCCGGTGCGCAGCATGGTTGTTTGCCAGGTTCAGATGCTGTACATAGAGCAGCGGCTGACCTTTTTCCATGACTCTCCACAACATCATAGCGAAGGGAGCGGTATGAGTTTGAGTAAGCCTAGTTTCTGTTTCACATCGTGTGCTACAGACAATGTGTAACAGCTGTGAATGTTGGGTCGCGGATCCGATTGGCGAGTCTGGAGGAAGGAGCGAACTTAGTTCTTTGCATTTCTGCTCCGAGGGCATTCTGAGTGAAGTTAGTGAAGCCACAACTCCTGTGTGTTGTAGCATTTGCAGTGAGCACGTGCTTGTCAACATTTGGCTTGGCACACCTGGATGCCTGCTCCACAGCCCTGGGGCTGCTACTGCTTGTCAGAGCAGCGTTGCAACAACTGGCGACTGTTTCTGGCCGTGTTTGATTCCGACGAATTCGTTCGTGGCCCCAGACAAAATGTCGAGGCCTGTGCAGCAGCTTCTGAATCAGCCCCGTGTACTGGCAAAAAGCGCGCGAGCATGGCGACTGTTACACATGCCGGATCCTGCTGCTATGTCGCGCCCGTCCAGGCCGAGATAGAAGGGAAACTTACATTCAGCGAACTGTTTTGTCGGGGTTGAAAGGGTGCTCACACAGCGTGGTCGTGTTGCCACGTGCTGCACCAGCTATACCGGCCAGGACGGAAAGCTACAGCAAGGTCGCCCGAAAGGCAGCCTAGAAATGACACTGAATGCAGTCATATAATTGGGAGTGGGGTGCATTACAGCTTGCAGGTTGCTGCAGCTTGGCGCTTGGGCCGTATGATGTAACTCAATATCATATGATGAATCACATATGCAAGGCTACCACCGTCATTCAGGTTTGAAAACACCCGAGCTCCCACGATCTGAGTGTGCGCGTGTGTGTGTGTGCGCGTGTGCAAGTGCGTGTGCGTGTGTGTGCGGGCGCAAGGTCATCGCGCATGGGTGTAGTCCCAGCGTATCCTGGCTCAAACGGGTATGTATTCTGGACTGTGCTAGTTGGGATGTGACTACCTGGACCGCCATGGACGAAGCCTGGCACTCAGCACAGGCTTTGCATGCTTTCATGGCAGACGCAATGCAGCGATCTGAGGATCCGGATTGGGAGATGATGGGCTTCTGTCCGCAGGGTAAGGTGCCGACCGTTGCCGTCTTTTTCTTTTTGTTGTTGGGGTGGTCGGGGTCGTCTCGAGCAACTTGGAACGAAGGGGTAGCCATCCTGCACTGTCCTAGCAGAAGCGGCAGGACCCTGGATTCGGAGAGTTCGTGGGCAAGGCCAGGTGCGGTACATTTTGTGACCAGTACTCACCTCTTGTGTTGGTGTTTCGGTCGCAGCACGGCAAGGTCAGCAGCTTGTTACCCGTTGGCTGTGCCTTCATCGAGTGTCAAGAGATCAAGGACCCGGCCCCTGCCTCCTTCAAAGGCGTTTCGTCTTCGATCCAGTTTCATGTACCAAAGGCAGCCTGCTCTGCAGGATTTGTATGATCAAGATGCCTATGTGCACAGTTCGGCCAGCGGCCAAATCCTGGCATGAAGCTATTTCTTGCAGCAGAGTGACAGGAAGTATGACATGTATATGTGTGGAGAGTACGGGGTCGAAGATGTCAACATCAAGGGGGCTACGAGTATTCATCATGCAGGTCATGCATCAATGTGGTCTACAGCTAGGCGATGAGCCTGGAGCTCAGCATGGTGCCGGCTCCCAGCAATAGCGATTGTTGCGCCAGTCCTCTGTGACCGAGGATTGCTTCAACGTCCACGTGAATGCAACTGGACGACCGCAGGCTGCAGCAGCTCTCATTTTGCAATTGCCAGAAGCCTGCACCACGGGCTTTGCGGCTTTACGTTAGAAGCTGCAGACTCTGCGCAGGTGTCGGCCCCATGTCATGGCCTTTTCTTCCACGACTGTTTCCGATTCTCTGACGTGCGTTCTTGTGGCAGAGGCTGGAAGCGAAAACGTGGCTGGAAACGGCCATGGACGGAGATGCAAGCAGAGGCCCAGGCCAGGACAGCCACAATATGTTCGCAAACGGGTCACCTGTTTGTGTAGGTATGCAGTAGAAAGAACTGAACTCTGAAGTTAGGCCTTGAATCCTCCGGCTTGCAGGTGTTAGATGCCGCTTCACCATCTCGAAGACGTGGTCTTTGACAGAGAATTCATGTCCGCAGGCAGGCGTCTTTCATACTCCCCCTGATGCCACCGGCTCAGTGTCTCAGCGTAGCTTCCGCCTGCTGCTGGTGCCGAATCTTGTGAAGCTTCACCGGTGCCGAGCGCCTGCTTTGCATGACAAGTGTGAAGGAGACCAGGCCGCATAATGATGTCGGGATTTTGCATGAAAGCAGACTCACTGCATATGTGCTCGTTGACTTGTTATATTTGCTGAAGCTGGCTTCTTCTGACTTTTCTGTGCATAACGCGGCTCTCAGACAGGGGAGTCCATGCGAGTATGCCAGGGATGTTGGGGTGTGGGAAAAAGCTGCTTGAGCGCATTGGCATTGGAGCTGTGATGACAGATGACAGTTCATCTCACGGTGCAAGTTCAAGTTTGGACGAATCGGACTGCCATGCCTGCGAGCTTTGCAAACAGAAGCCGCAGAAGTAGCAAAAGCAGTGGGAAGTAGAGCGGCGGTATGGAGATCCACGCGTTCGCGAACACTTACATTGTTTGGGTGTCGTGGCGGCATTGGTTTTGTGGGCCCCTGACCAATGTTTTTGGTTTTGGTTGGGTTTTACGTGTTCGCTTGCTTGTGTCGTTGCGGTGCTAGCCTTGCCTGAGACCGTGAAACCCCTCCGTGAAACAGCGGGGGCCTCAGACTTGGCTGCGCAAACTTGCGATGCTGGAGATCTGCTAATGTCTATTTCCAAGTTCCAAGTTGCAGGAGATGGAGAACCAGCTTCAGCGGATCCAGAAGCTCAAGGACAGTACACTGAGTACACATGTCGTGGTTTGCCTCGACGGCACGTGCACCAACTCCCATTCGCCTAGTCGCCTCTACCCACGAGGCCCAAGAGGTTAGGCCTGCCCCACCTTGCAGGAGAGGAAATTCGGAGTGCCCAGCCATCCCCCGTTGATGACACCAAGGGTCGCCTCCATACAACGGTCGCACTACGCTTGCTGTGGCATAGCCAAGCGAGCAAGAATGCATGACGCGGCTTCGTGGCTTGCCTGGAACTTGATCCGTATCATGCTGTGGCATAGCCAAGCGTGAAAGGGAGGCACGTCCTAAACTTCCGGTCGCTCTACGCAAACCTGCCGTTGGGGCACGGGCTGGCCCCGCAAACCTGTGAGCACGCAGCACCCGCATCACAGGGGAAAAACATCGCAGAGCAGGACTTTGCGGAGCTTTGGCAATCGAGATGCCCAGGGGCTTGAGCAAGGGAGTCGCTGGCGGCATCATGCATGTGCATTGTAGACGGAGGCAGGCAGTGAGTGAGGGGGTGAGCTTGTGAGCGACTGCGTGAGTGAGCCTGCGCTATAAAGAGCTAGCATGCGTTAGTGAACGCGCATGCGGCGAGTGCGGGGGAGCAAGAGCCGCCAACCCACCGAACGTTTACCCACTTACCGCATTGATAAGCACACTTTCTTTCCAGGTAGCAACTTCAGCAGGGTTCATACATTTCTTCTGGGCAAGGGGGATGTAGACTACCATGATCTACCATAGCTACTGAGTTCTGGAGATGTTGCGAAGGTTTAACGCCCTTTCTTACCAGAACATATTCATGACGAAAGTATTGAGAAAGAAAAGGGGCAGGCACCAACGGAAGAAATCGAAGAAGGGCATCAGAACTAGATGCAGAACTACATCCATCAACGCCTACAGAATTCCGAAAACAAAACAAAAAGGAACAGCAGAGAACATGGCAAGGTTCCAAGCCAGTGCGATCTCTATGCGAATATGCATGTCTTCAAAAACAGTCAAAAGAATGTACCAAGCTGAGAGGTGGTACGATTTGGAAAAGGCCTTCTGAGCCTTGAACAGCTGAAGCGCACCTGCCTCTCAAGCTGAGGACCGCATGACTCACGATCGCTATAATTACAGCTGCAAATCCAGCGCCGGGTACTTCACAAGGGCTTCCGCCTTCACATCATCCATACTTTCGATGCTGTTTATCACGTGCTGGGCACTGGGCATGGTGCCCTTCGGTACTCAAGGTAATTCATACAGTTGTGGCTTTGAAGTTCTCAGTTGCTTTTTCCATCTACGCTAACACTATGGGGTTATCGTGTTCATTGTAATTAAGGAGAACTGATTGAAGTAGCCGTGCGGCAAGTGCCAAGACTTGGCTCCCTGCATCCTATTCTGTACTGTAAATGCTGCAACTATGGCCCCGCGTCTTTTCATTTACACTAGATGCTCACGGCGCACGTTTCCCGCTGTCGTGCGGTGCATTCCTTGTCGCTGATATCCTATTATTGACGGCTTCTGCGTGCTGCATGCGCCATGGGGGCCAAGGTTCATTGCAAATACTACTACATGGACGCTCTTGATAGCATGAAATCGCAGCATTATCGGGGGGGGGGGGATCCAGCAAATTAAGAGGGGGAACATAAGTCTCGTTCGCCTTATTCTCGAAGGCGCTAGTCTTTCGCGCTCCTTGTTGTCCAGTGCTCTATGTTTCGAGCGGGTTTGTAGAATCCCTTTCGTGCGGTTTGCTCCTTGGTTTCAACTGCTCCAGTCCTCCTGCAGCGGTTTGCGCTGCTTTCTCAGATGCTCCAGTACTCTAGTTAGATATTGGCACTTTTGGGCGGTTTGCGTGTTTTCTCTCAGGCACGGCTCAGTAAACCGAGAATTTTCACCCCACCCAAGCCGTCATGTAAATTGCCCTGGCGGCTGTCATGCATGCTTGCCTGACGACTTGTTAGCCATCTGTGTGCCTCAATCGCACCATGTCGCCCTAAACCGTGAACCCGAAACATGATATCGTGCTAGAGTTGCGATCATTCCGCCTCATTTCAGGCCGGCATGCTAGAAATCAGACGAACCATAGCATTGACAGATATCAGATGATTGCGAATGCTGCAAGTGATGACAAGAGCCCTACTTCTGGTGTAAATATGACACTATCTGGCATGAGCATGGTAGCGGATATTGATGTTGGAGCCATATAGTTTTTTTTACAGATTCGCTGGTATTGCAAACCCCGGCTTCAAGTTTGGACACAGTCAAGAAGCAACATCTGAGGTAAATAGCAGTATTCCATGTTGTAATCCAAGTATTGGCAGTTGAAGCCTGTGTGTGGCTTTATTATAGTCTAAACACGTGATCTTGGATTTCAGGAATTGAACATAATTTACTACAAATTGAAGATGTTGTCTTGGAGCCGCTCCCATTGTCGGACAGTTGTTCATAACCAGTTGGTTACAGCTGTTTAAGACGCAGAAGCGCAGGACGTACTGAATGCAGCGTCGAGACTGCTTCAACGAGCAGATGCAGCAATAGTATACATCGTATATTGAATCAGTGACACATAAATTGAGCTTGTCCGTTGCATTGCAGACTGCCAGAACCCATCGACTCGAGCAGTTATTGCTAGTCGGACCTTCGCCAGCAGTGGCAAAGGTGACAGTGTCGGTGAAGTATGTAGATACTTAATACCAACTTTTTGATGGGATGCGGTGATGTATAAGGTGGAAAATATGTAACATGTGGGTGAGATAGCATGAACATGATGGTAATGTACTTTGTTCGCGGCTTCTGATTTTACCTCTATGCGACGACGCCACCGACGCCAACATCCTGAGATACTGCGACGAAGCCAAATCGGATTGCAGGAACAGATCGCAGAGCTGAAAGAGGAGCTGGTGGCCAGCTTAGTTAGACAAGAGCTTCAGGAAGTTGCTAGTGTGAAGTGCGACGTAGACAGTTTCCTCACGCTTGAAGCCTTGAGCATAGAATACATGTAAGTGTATACATACATACCGTATAGGTAGATATATTATTACCTGCAGAAGGATGAGCATCGATTGTCGTTGTTACGCTGGCTCAATCATGGCTTGGGTCAGTGGCTGAGAAGCAGACTGGGCGCCTTGAAGTTAGCCCTTCAGCCGACAGCTCGGCTTGTCATATCCACACTCATCCGTTTGCCGTCTGTTGCAGCCGTGATCATGGTAGTCGGCTTCACCCGGAAAGTTTATGTACAGGAAGGGGAGCACGTTGAGGAAGAGCCGCAGCCAGAAGAGGTGCGCCGCCACTCTATTTCAGTGGATGCTGCTTCAGTTTTGCCATGTTGCATTGCCGTTCGGTTAAGCAGGTCCAGACTGAGGAAGAGGCAGCCGTTGGCACGAGCTGTCATGCAAGCGTTACTTGTTTTCCTGCTATTCTAGCGGCGTTTCTTTGGTGCGTCGTGACGGATACTAGTCCGGATCCAATCCGCTTATCCGTCTTCGATTCAGAACACTGTCGGGAATCCAGGCGGGAAGGACGGAACGGCTTGCGGAACAACCAAGACGAGCGTTTTAGGTAAGAGGGCAGGGATCTGGAAGGATTGGCGAAGACGTTTACCTTCGGAGGCTGTCCAGATCAGAAAAGGTGACATGCAGGCAAGCGCACGCTTGGTGGGGGAAGAGGAAAGCGGAAGTCACGGGACGGATGAATGGATGGATTGATATTCGGTGGATGCTAGATTGCAAGAATGTGCGGGAGGAAGGGGGGGAAGGGGGAGTGTGGCATGTTTCCTTGGACTCAGTTGGGGGAGGGTCCAGAAAGGGGGAAACGAGATTGAGGGGTGAAGGCGGGAAGGACGGGGAGGAGGTAGAGGTAGAGGGGCTTGGTATGGAGGCAGAATCTTACTGGAAGATGTTGGTCGAGTCCGAGCTGCCGTGCGGTCATGCATGTTAAGATTCGTGTGATGTTGCGCGCGCCCTAAAAAGGCGAGGGGTGATGGGCTTTTCAGGGCCCTTCAATCCAACTCTACGCAGGACTGGTGGACCTGGCTGCAGGCACGGCCAGCCTCGACAGTTCGTGCATCAGTTGCAAATGGACTCATGGACCTTCTTCAGGCACAAATCTGTCTCTTCGGCTGCGCTGGCCGGAGGCAACGCGACAGCGGGAAACCATTCTGCGCCAGAATCTCTGCGTGCCCAATTCCACACATCCAGTAGCAGTAGAAGCCCAAGCTCCGAGCTCCAAGCAAAACTCTGCAACCCTATGCGCTGGCCCGTTCCCCACCCCGGTGCGCAGCATGGTTGTTTGCCAGGTTCAGATGCTGTACATAGAGCAGCGGCTGACCTTTTTCCATGACTCTCCACAACATCATAGCGAAGGGAGCGGTATGAGTTTGAGTAAGCCTAGTTTCTGTTTCACATCGTGTGCTA